CCATATCATTTTTTACCAAAATAAATGCTGACACACGGGACACCTGGGCGGCTCAGTTGGTTAAGCGTCTGACTTCAGCTCAGGTCATGATCTCAGGGTCCTGGGATCGAGCCCCGTGTGGGGCTCACCGCTCAGCAGGGAGTCTGCTTCTTCTTCTCTCTCCTGTTGTCCCTCCCCCTGCCTGTGCTCTGTCTCTCACATAAATAAAATGTAAACACATACACACATACGTACTGGCACTAATTCTCCTGTAGGACCAGCTGTCCATCTGTGTGATCAGATACCTCTAATCCAGGCAGGTCTGAGAGCATTTGGAACAACAGTGACAGGGCTGGAGTGAGTATTCTGACCACCAAGAGTACTTTTCTTTTCTGAAGGATAACAATCATTTTGATTTGGATTTGTAAATTCTCGTAACGTAGTTTAAACATTATTTCACAATCCTGGGTTTGTGTGTGTTTTACCATCTGTACTGAGAGGCACACTGCAGGCAGAAAATATGGGCCTGCCTTTTGTGGCTTAACTGCGAACTTCTTCACCAAGCAACTACATTTGTGAGGAACTATTGAGGTTGTAGAGCTCTCGGGGGAGTCTGGACAGTGCCTCATCTACGTGCCCCGATTTTAGATAAGAAAAAAACACACAAAAAAGAAAACAGAACAGAGAGGTTGCATGACCTTCCCAAGGAAACCTCGCCCGGTCAATAACGCAGGTGTCCAGTATCTAAACTCTGAACTCACCTCTGGCCCTGGATGAGGCAGCCATGGCCTCACATTACGATTTTAATGTAAGACGGGAAAGGAATTTACTGAAATACTTCTCATATGTTCTCTAGCCCACCTGACGACTCTCCAAGGCAGGTGTTATCTCCCTCATTTTACACATGAGGAAAAAGAATCCGGGGCTCAGTAACTTGCCTAAGGGCATAATGGCCACAAACGGCAAACCCAAGATCAGGACACTCGTTTACCTGGTGTAGGGTGAGCTCCCATTCCGGCAACGGCCCCATGCTCTGGCCGCCCTGTGCACACACGAGAAGGCTCAGGCCTGTCTCCCTACTACGCCGCGCCCTGCTCTACAGGCTTTTACAGGTGCATATACCAAACCATCCTCGTCTTTCAGACCCTGTGCTCTCTGAAAGTAATAAAACAACTATCTTTAAAAAAAAATCTATAATTTGGAATTTTCTCTATTTTACATTGACCATCCCACCCATGGATTAACTTGGATCAATGAGTCTTAAATATTTTAACAAGGTCAGATTTTTTACTCTCAATCAACAGGAAAAAGCATGAAAGCAAAAATCAGTTTGTTGGTTGGTTGGTTATGTATGTGTATATGTATTCCTGATTTATTTATTTTGCTTGGCCGAACTCTTCACCTCTCATAGCATGAAGGGAGATTATTACTATCATTCCTGTCTGAATTATAACTAATCAGAATTAATGAAATTCAAGTTCGCTATTAGATTTAAGATATTATTACTAGATAATATACTTATTAGAAATAATTAGCAGGACACAAATATTTCTAAAGCTATTATTAAAATGGAAATAATTGGGCTTCTCCAAGTCTTGATTACCTTTCCCTTTTTCTTAAAAAAAATAAATAAATACGACCCTTGCTTTGCTTAGGCTGGTGACAAGAATGTTAATTTTAATTAATCCTTACAATTAAGTATTAAAGATATCTCTTGCCATCTCATGAGTCGCTAGGAAATAAATCCATGTATTTCTGGCTCTATAATTTACCAGACTAGAGTTACTCAATTATTTGGAACACATATATATGCTGTTTTTTGGAATTTATTAAAAGGAAAAAAACTTTCCAGGAATAGCTTGGTGTTGTAATTTTCTAAGTAAAGATCTTATGCAGAAAACACCTTTGTTTCTACTCTTTTAAAACCCTTCTTAGTAGGTTTCCAATTTTTCCTATCTACCTGAGGCCATACAAGTGAGAAGAGCTGAATCTTTCCTTTAAAACTGGGCATGCTACCGTCTCTGATAACTTTATCTTGTGTTGGTACAAAGATGCAGAAGTTATACAAAACTGAGCTGACTGGAAATGACCCCTGAGCATTAAAACAAAAAAAGTTACAAAACCAAAGAAGCCAACCACAGAACACAGGAAAACCTCCTGTATTTAGCCTGTGCATAGGTGGGACTGTTGAATAACAGGGGAAATGCAGGCTAACTGGGTATTCTAATACACTGACATTCTGCTGTTTTAGTGATACTGCAAATGTACTCATTCATTCATTTATTCACCAAGTATTTACAAAATTTCCAGGATTTTCCCAGGCATCTGAGATACACCAGTGGGCAGACAAAAAAAAAAATCTCCTACCCTCATGGAGCTTACATTCTAGCAGGGGAGGAGCGGAGGAGGGTGAGGGGAGTCAGAGCTTAGAGGAAGAGGAATGACAGTTTTAAACAGGGTGGTCAGGGAAGGCCTTATTGAAAAGATGACATCTGAGCAAAGAAAGGATGCAGATGAGATAAATCAGGTGGTCGCCAGGGAGGACATAGGAGGCAGAAGTGACAGCAAAAGCAAAGGGCCAGGGTGGAGTGATACCTGGCCAGGGGGCCAAAGCAGGAAGATGGAGGGGGGTCAGGGTGGTAGGGACTGCGGTGTGTGAGTGTGTGTGTGTGTGTGTGTGTGAGAGAGAGAGTGAGAGAGAGAGAGAGAGAGAAATGAATGTATGTACTAGAGGGTACTGTGACTGTTACCCTCCCTTGACCTTGATCCCCCGTCAAGAGACGAAAATGCCACTGGGCTGAAACACCACGGTGGTGCAGCCACACATCAAAACAAGGATGAGATCATTAGAGTAGAGGCGGTTTTAAAAAAGCAAAGGTAACCGCTTCTCGGCCTTTTGGCTAAGATCAAGTGTAAAAAGCAAAAGTAACATTTTGCTTTACGATCGCTGATCTGATTTCCAAGTGCTTTGACCATCCGAGTCTCTGAGATAAGACAATGTAGTTGCCTCCACCTTACGGCTGGTCTAACAGAGTGAACTTCTTAGAGCCAGCCAGAACAGCCTCCAAAAAAACCCTTCTTGTTCCTGGCAGCCAGACCAGTTTTCAAGGAATCCTGATACAACACAGGAGTTTTAATTTTCAAAGCTTTCATGTAACTATGTTAAGTTAAACTTCTTTTACTCATTAAAAAAAAAACTAGGTTTAATCACAAATGAACGAAGTGTGGGTGCCTGTCTGGGAAGTGAATAATTACCAGGTACAAACACAAAATAACGAGATTCATTTGGATAGTCTAATTATGCGTAAAAACAGATTTTTCAGAAAGGCACTCTTCTGTGCTAAATGACTGTCAATATGAAAATACATGGCATTAGTTATTTCAGCTAAAGAATGTCAAGAACCGAATAATCAAGCATTGGGTTACAAAGTTTAAAAGTTAATAAAGCGGCACCGAGTATTTGTATTAGTGCTTTAAGTAGCTAAATTAAACTGAAATGTGTCTCTTAAGCAGTCATTGAACAAGCAAGACGAGAAATAAATTGAGCTTCACTTAGGCCTTTATGGCATCTAACAACTGTGTCTGTCAACACACGGATCCTTTTCACTGTCAATTCAACACACATTTTGCAGACCTTGGGCCTGCAATTATTTCATTTCCTTTCTTGGAAATGTAATTTCCACTTACTTTTGGAGAATAAAAGACAGACAAAAGGAGGAAGGAGTTGCAGTATTTTCTGATTAAGATTATCTGTATAAAATGGTAAAGGGAAAAAAATCTATACGCGCACACTGAAGCATTTCTCAGCAACTAACCTGTCTCAGCCAAATTGCTTTTGTGTCTGGATATTGGTTCAGATGTAGCCAGACTGCTGATGTCAAATTAGGTGTTAAACAAATTTAATAGGAAAGATGAAGAATGAATATAGATCATCTTTCTGTTAGAATTGTTCAAATGACTCCAGTCAAAAGAAAGGAAACGCATGACCACAGGGGAAGTGTGCTTTTAATTAAACACAATGAAATGAGATAAAACTGTAAATCAGCAAAGAAGGCCATTCATTCCAAAAGAGGGGGAGAAAAAGTTAACAGGGCCAGGGAGAGAAATGCAAGAGCGGAAGAAAATACCAGTTGGCAAAAATAGATCTAAATTGAACTGCAACTTCGTTTGTCCAGGCTTCACCTTTTAAACTAAGACAGATAGAGCTACAAAAAAAAAAAAAAAAAAAAAAAAGGTTCTTTCTCTCCTGAGAGAACAGGAAGTCAGAGGTTTTAATTAACCATGATTACAATATTCGGCTGATCTGATTTGTCTCACCTCTTCCTTTTCTTCAAGCGGCAAACCGGCTGACACCCTGGCAAGAGAACTTCAGTAAAACTAGACTAATTTCAAAAAGAGCTTGCCTCTGTTATAAAACAAATTGACCCTCCACCAGATCTGTCTGAAACACATTCAACAGCAAGATTAACTCTTGGACAAAGTGCCACTTTCCCAAAGCAAGTCTTCGGCGAGAACTCTTTTTAAGTAGTATCTCTTCACTCTCAAGAGAGAGCAGTATTAAGGCACATCTTTCACTGAGGACCAGAAAGCAAGGTTCTAAAAATGTCCCCTTCAAAGTACGTTGGAAGATCTAGCGTCTTCTGGAAGATCTGGCATCTTCCTTGACTGCTCATAAATCATTAAGAGGGATGATCCAAGCATTTAATCCTGAAAGAATGATTAAGTGTCTTGTGATGCTGAGTAATTATCATCCAGGTGAATTCTGTGTGTGGAAGAAGAACCTGATTACCAAACCAATTTAGGGGAAGGAATTCTCTTTACCCGTATCTGCTTTGGATCAGAATAAGACCCCTAAACTAGGAGCCCAGAATCACAAGTTGGCTCATAAAACAAAGGAAGAAGAATAGTTATTGGCTAACCCGATCAAAATCTCTCTAAAGAGGAATAAAGCAAAGCAACACACAGTTTAGTCATCACAGATTCTTCTACACACTTACTTAGTAAAGAGCATCATTACTTACTGAAATGTAACCTTGGAACTTGTGCATCCTTCCAATTTACACGACCCTTCACCTGGCTCAGGTGTTGGGGGGGACGGGCTGTTGAATTCTGCCTCCAGAGTTTTCTTGTTCAAGGCTGTTTTTGTTACACTGGATACAGAACCCAACACTGGCATGGATTTGGACTCTGAGGTGGCTAATATCCCGGTTGGACCTTAAAACCAAACACATACCTCAAGTTTAATAATTCTGTGCAATGCTTATTAATATGGTACTGAAAAACAGATTAGCCAAAAATCTCTCAGGAAGTGAGAAGGCCAAGTTTTGTTAAAATTTCGAGAGCATGCTAGAAAATGTTCCTGTTAGAAATATGCTCCGTTTGGGGGGTACTACTGCTTTTCAGTGCACCAGGACCAAGCTGATAAATTATGTAGAGACCTTTAAGAAAGCACAAAAACCCAGGCCATGGCTCCTTCGCTGACCAGAGTCCTTATTAACACCAGAATTGTGAAAACTCTTTTCTTCTCAGACCATGGCTTTCTGACAGCCCTACTTAAACCATTTGGCCTCTCAAGAGTTAATTCTTCCCAAAACTCAGCTCCGCGTTTTAAACAGCAAATGGAACAATGTCAAAAGGCTCTTTTTAAAAAGGCTCCTGAAGGCTTCTTAAGCATTAAACAGCTTTTATGAACATTTTCATTTTAATGTGATTGAGAAGTAAGTGGATTTATTTCCTGTTAAAATACAGACACAGGATTCTAAAAATTAAGTGGCAAAGAGTTTGGCTGTTTATCTTTTGGACCTTTCTGCTCTTTGGGATCGGACTAAATGACTGTAATAGGGCTCATTACTAAAATTATTGGCGTACCAATCCAAAACTCCCAGGCCCTGAAGCAAAGTTCTTCCATTACTTGTTTTCTCTCTTTAGTCAGAAAGACCCTACCCTAGCCAGCTTTTTCCAAAGCAAGATTCCAATATGTCTTCCTTGAAACCTCAGAAGCAATCTTTGTAAAACGTATTTATGTACTAAGTCGTAAATGTGTATGGACAAAATTAAGCTGGAGGACAACCTTGAGAGGTACCACTGTAAAGAGGACAAAACTTGGGAGTCTTATTCCTTCACAAGTGTCAGATCATCTCCTAAAACGGAAAGCAGTAGGGGGCATAATCCAAAATGCTAGCTGATCCTTGGTCGTTAATGTTAAACTCTGCCATGTTTGCCTCACATCTGCATGTGAATGTGTCTGACGTATCCCAACAGTATAACCTATCAGCTCCCAAACTGAAGTTCTGTGATGTTCAAAACCTCCGGAAAGAGAGGCTGGGCAACCGTTCTGCTGCTCTGTGGTCCCACCTCCCATGGCCTCACTCTCTGGGGGAGACAAAGACCCCCCTCTGGCTCCAGCGGGAAGCAACAGCTCCCAAAACGTCAGTCAGTTGCCTTCCTCCTTTATTTCACTTCTAGCAGCTGGGCCGAGGAGCCTGTGACATCACTGAATATCCTGATGCAAAAGACCTTTCCCCTCCCACCTAGGACAAGCCTCCGGGTGCATGGGATGTGGGAGTGAAGAGAGAAGAGCTGGAAGATCAAGAAAGATCCTGAAAAACTACGACGTTGAATTCAAGATTTGCTTCTGAGCCGCTCTATTCTGCCCTTGGGCAGTTGCTGACTACAAAGCTAGACAGCTTTAAGCAATCTGTCCTTGTACAAAAGCAGATCTGCTTCTGAAAACACCAACGCCCACTTCCTCTTCTGTAAATGAGGCCCGCTACAAAGGACAGAGAGTGGGTGAGTTGAGCCGAGCTCTGATTTTTCTTACATACAAAAAGAAATAGGGGCGCCTGGGTGGCTCAGTCGTTAAGCCTCTGCCTTCCGCTCAGGTCATGATCCCAGGGTCCCAGGATCGAGCCCCGCATCGGGCTCCCTGCTCCACAGGAAGCCTGCTTCTCCCTCTCCCACTCCCCCTGCTTGTGTTCCCTCTCTGGCTGTGTCTCTCTCTGTCAAATAAATAAATAAAAACTTTAAAAAATAAATAAATAAAAATACATAATATTTAAGATTATTATTATTATTGCATCCTGTTTAAGCTGTCCAATGTTTTCCAAGAGGTACTTGCTGCTCTTTGAAATGTCAGCTTGGTAGGCCACGAGCCCAAAGTATCAGATAGGTCTGATAAGAGAAACTAAAGAGAAAGGTACTTCACTGGCCCTGGAGGGAGATAGCAACTATCCTGGGATTGGCTGTCTGCAAAGCTTAGGCTGTCCCCTACCTCTCTTACCATGCTTCCTTTCTCCACTCTTGTGACCCCACATTAGCTTCCCCATAAGCCTTTGTGTGCAGAAGGAAAAAAATCTCAAGAGATTCAAGTGTACCTGAGGCCATAAACCTATCAAATTCATCTCTGTAATCTGCTCCCACCAGGCAGGGTGCAGCTGTGCTAACTTTAGCTTCTTACTCCCTTCCCCTACCCCACCCCCCCCCCCCCCCCACCTTTCCTGGATTTTCACTTTGTCATTCCATGACCCTTATAAAAAGGTTTATTTGGCAAATACCTCTAATAGTTCGATGCTAGAAAAACAGTGGTACCATCTAAAAAAAAAAAAAAAAAAGTATGATTTCTTTTTCTAGATGATAGAGTTTGTAAGTTTGTTTCCTCCTCTCACCCCCCCCTTTTTTTTTTTTTGCTTTGGCTACTAGGGAGCTCAAAAGAAAATTTCTACTCAGGTACAAGTCACTCTCCCCAATATGGTTTCTCTAAACTCTGCCAGAGTTCTTGTTTCTCTATCCAAATACTTATGATTCTATTGACTATATACCTTATTGTAATATCCCTCAAACAATACATTGAATATTTATATATTGTGGGGTATAATAAATAAAATGAAAGATTCTCAACCATGCCTGTACAGTGTGTTCCTTTCTTTCTCCATTCTCTGAAATATTCAAATTCCCATCTTGACTAAAATGAAAATGTTTCCTGGTTTCTCCCATTGAATACTAACTCTGAAATAGTGCTGTACATCTGACCGAGTTCACGAGTGAAGTCAGAATGCTTCCACAGGAACAAAATACAAAATGTAAATGACAGAGAACAAAAATGGGATCCACCAAGTCCTAAACAATAATGATGGCTATATGAATACTCCAAGGATGAAATGTTGCAAGAAGTGACTGTCACAACAGGAACAATGGTTCAATGGGGAGGCTGGTAAATGCTTATAAAGCAATTCTAAGAAACAAAATCTCTTACAGCACAGCTTAATTTTCCTGAGAGGTGGGTATTTTTGGGAGGAAGGAATTCTTCTATGATATTAACAGCAGAATTTCCAGACCAAACTAAAACCTGAATGGCTGATTTTTTTTCAAGAAGAAAACAAAAGTTTCAACTTTTTATAATAAAGGTTTGGCTGCTATTCTGTTGCTTCCAGTACAAAGAACCAATTTACTAAATTGTCTCAGTAAAATCCCTACATGGAAACTAGAGCTTGATTAACAAAAACCCAAATCCCTCCTATTCTAGCAACTTAAACTTGGTAAACATGACTCAGTGCAAATTTAAACTGTTACAATGGACCAACTGGAGTTGACTGAACGGAGTCTAAAAGATTCAGCCCATTAGCTACGGTTGCTGGTTAATTTTACTTTGGAGTAGTTTTTCAAAGCCAGCCTCCTGGCCACAAGGGAAAAAGCTCATATGGGTTTCTGCTAATTCCCGCGACCAAGCGGATGGGGAAAAAAACAAAAAACAAAACGGATGACATACAAAGTTAGTTCTGAGGTCTCATACCTGCACATCATGACCCAGTCTCTGAGCTCCAGACTTGCTCAGATGGTTGTTTCCAGCTGGTAACAGAGCTGCCATTTCTCGTATGCAGAGACAATGAACAGAGTACACATGAAGGATAAAGACGATGCCTCTGCATTCGTAACTGATGCGTGATTCCCACTCTGACTACTAATCCCTGTGCTCTGACTTGGTGCCATGCACACTACTAAGCACTTTCCATACACTGACTTACTCAATCTTTAGAATAATCCGATGAGGCAGTGCTTTTATTACCCTCATTTCACAGATAAAGACACTGAGGCACAGAGAGGTTGAGCAATTGAAGGGTAAGCCGCTCGGAAATAGCAGAGCAAGGATTCAAACTCATGCGGTCTGGATCCAGAGCCTGTTCTCATTGCTACACTATTGTCAGAGCCCATCCTAAGTATCTGTACATGGGGGCATCTTGCCTTAAGCAAGCCCAATCTCTAAAACCTTGATTAACTGCAAATAAACATATGAATAAGCAAAAATACGTAATTTCTAATGAGATATCTATCCATTAAGTACCTTTGCCAATCCAATACTTCTCACTCACATTAAAAAAATTAATAATTATAAAAGATCATTTCATGTTAGAAAGGGACTTAAAGGCAGATGTTTCAGAGAGGAAGAGGAGAACTGCGGAGAATTCAAACCAGCTTACTACTGCTATCTGCTTCTGCTGTCACCTTTCTGCGACGCAAAATCCTTTCTAACTCAGTTTCACTGTTTTCAGTGTCAAGGGATTTTAAGCTTCTTGAACTAGTGGATTTGTTAAGTGTCCCCTAAAGTGAAAACAAAACAAAAACAAAAACAAAAAGGTTAATGTCTTAATACAATATACAAAAGAATATAAAAATCAAACCAGCAAAACATTACCAGAATTTGAATGGAATTAGGAAACAGAATGAATCTGCTGTGTATCTATATATATGTTATTTTTTAATGTGTGTACCTTCAACAACACAGTGTTGGATCTTTTAAGAAGATGCTACTGAGGGTGTCAGATGTTAGCTTTCACATCCAGAGAACAGTACAAGAACCCGTCTCGATGAGCTAACTGTGAAACTCAGTGGTGGGAAGGTACCTGCACGTTGATGGTGAAGATTCGGATATATGTTGATCGATCGTGGGGAGAAGAGAAGCATATAGTGAACTCACCTTCGAAGGTTTTCTTGACACAGCAGCCAAGAGCTACTGAACCCAAATCCTCGTGGCACTGAAAGTGTGTGGCTGAGTCTTCAGAATGACCCTAGCTCCACACCTAGTGGCATGGTGTGGCGGGTGCCACAGGAGACACAGGACACTCTCCTGCAGCCTGGCCAAAGAAGGGCTGCCCTGAGCACCCCCTGACTTCATTGTGAAGGAGGAAGGGTTACAATGACCCAGGGAAGCAAGGAAGGGCCGGCATCGTAATTCCATATTCCTAACAGAGGAGGCAGTGAATGTATTATCCAGGGCCCAGAAGATACTGATGGAAACAAGAGATGGCATACAGCTGTGCACCTGCTGAACTTGGTACTGACTTTCAAGACAACGGAGGAAGACCCAGGCGGTGGCTCCCGGCCCTGGCTCCTCTGGGAAGCCTGTTATGGAGGGAGAACTATGGCTTTCTATCTCCCAGGACCAGTCAAGTGCCTGTACAGAATGCTGGGTGACACACTTCTCATCCTGTATGTAAGGATTCAGCACTGCACCATTACCAGGGGTCCAGTTTTCTTTCATAAGAAATGCCCACTATTTCTTTGAAATGGCCTTCCTTAGCTGGGCTACGTGCTTGGGGAGGGGGGAAGCCAGGAGATCCACAATCTTTGGATCTCAGCAAATCAGAACCTCAAGTCTGGCATAACTTGCCAGACTTCATGCCACAATCAGAGGCAGCTTCTGTCCCCCAAGGCTAACAACCAGGCCAGCCTTCTCACCTCAGCTCACTATGGGTTTGCCTTAATCCTGCTCCTGCCTCCCCTGCCAACTTCCTGAAGGACTCTAAGAATTCTACTGGCTAAAAATGGTAACTCATGTTTCTTCTTTAGCCTACAAAACAAAAAAAATAGCTTGTAATATTAGGTAGTTACAAATCTCACATGATATAGGTTATTATGTTTTGTTTAGAAAGGCTTCTTCCCTAACTGGGTAAAGGCTTTGAGAAACAGCCTGTGGGGATGGGGCAGGGGAGGGGACTGACTAACAAGATTAGGAGATTTTATTCTTTTACTATCAGCTACCCAGCTAAGATCAATGTGTAAAACACGTAGATAAGGCTCATACTGTAATCAAGCATATGATACTCCACCCCCCAAGTATCTCTTTCTGCTTTTATTGCAAAAATTCATAAAATATATTCAAAGGAAAATCACATTACGTGTAACATATGTAATAGCTTATTTTATAACTTAAAAAATTGGATGATGTGGTTTATTTGACAGTTAATGCAGATCCGTACCTACTCATCAAGGACTTAAATACTAAAATAGGATCAAGACTGATAAGATAAAGAAAATAGAACTAAGTCAATTAAGACAAATTTGAAAAAATGTATTAGAAAAACTATTCCCAAATCATGTTTGCAATTTTTAAAACTTACCAGCTGTATCACTTGTAAACAGGTATTTGAAAAATGTAAGGCCATTGCTATTACATGAAACTATTACACTGTTTGAATGTCAAGAACATTCTTTGATTTTTCCCAACGGCTGGAGTTAATTCAAGAAAGAGATCTGTGTCTGTGTACACAAGCATACACATACACCTTGCACCTTTTAAGGAAGAATTTCTCTCTCACCATAATCTCAACTTTTCACTTGAATAACAGCATTAATTCCCCCATATTCTGATGGTGCTGAGCCATCCTCTCATCACACCTGATACTGAAAGATTCCGTTTTCCAAGTTCTAATCTTTGAATCTCAAACTTTTTTTCTCCATCCATTGACTGATGTGACCGATTCAGCTAACACATGAGTAAACTTTAAATATGCAGGCACTTACGGAGAAAAGAAAGATTTCTACATGACTCTCAGTTGACATGATCAAGGAGCTCAGCTGATAAAGTACCAAGACTGTCTAAATTGTCTATTTATGTATTAGTCATAAAGTCTGAGAATCAGAAATTCACTTAGAAGGCATGCGGTACACAGAATTCCTTCACTTTACAGAGAAGAGAATTCAAACTCAGTGAGCCTTGGGGTTTCGGCTGGGCCCCACAGTAAGTCAGTGACAGGGCTGGACTTGAACGTAGCTCTTCTGATGCCCAAACCACTGTTCAATCTTAGTCCCCATGTTGGTTAAATGTTTGTAACACCAACTGATCTAATTGTCAGTGGCAAAACCAACTATTCGATGATTCCCTCTGAAAAACTGAAGATGTTCGGGAAAAACCTAAAAGAGAATTTCTTAGAGGTTGTTTTTATTTGATTTAGAGGCAACTGAACTTTAAAGAGACTTTTACATTAATTTGTATGGATTTATTCTTCAGAAGTCGCTGTTCCCACTTAGAGTGACTTTTACATGACTGGGGTGATTGGGAAGTCTCTAAAACCTCCAAAAAAAAACCTTGTGTGACTATGAGAAATAAACTGTAAGTCTGTTAAATCTACAAAACATACAGCTTCTAAAAATTGAGTGTACACAGGGTTGGAAAAATAAGTTCAGTTGACGCTGGAACTACAGCAATTGGCTTGGAAAGTGTCCACATCCAAACAGAGTGAGATTTTCCAAATCCCACACCAGAGATGTGTTTCTACTTGTGGGCTAACTTTCAGCAAAAGGCCCAGTTTCTGCTGGTTTTCCTGGTTTCTGTTCTACAGTCGAACTGAACATGAGGTTTCTTAGGTTTCTTGGTCTCTCTCAGCACAGGTGCTGGCTCTCCATCACAGTGCACCTCTGGGAGGTTTTCCACACTCATGTGCTTTGCTGGGACTAACTCTGACAACCCTAACAGTCTGCATGACAGCAAGAAGCACCAATAAAGCCCCACCAAAGAGGGGCTTCCTTTCTCTCTCTCTTACAAGGAGTTGTATGGCTTCTTGGCCCCAAGTGACTGGGGGGTTCCAAATGATCCATCATCCCTCAAAGGGAACTTCTACGGGGGTACTGGAGAGTTGCCATTTGGCAAAGAAGAGTAGGGGACAGCACCATCAGTTCCACTTTTTAAAAAACTTAATGCAAAGATATAGTATTGCCAGAATAATAGCTATTAGGAATACCTTAATGCCAGACAAGGCACAGAAATCTAATGATAAATCCAGAGTGAGGAGGATGGGGGCAATTTGCAGAAAAGAAAGAAATTTTGACAATTTTTTAAATTTGTAAATTATTTCCCAAAAAGCTATGCTGCAAATTTCTCTCCTTGAAGTGGCACAAAATTATACTGAATATGACTGGATAGTGAACGTGATCTTTAAGAACAACACTATAATTCAGTAAATTTGTTACCATCCAGCATTATCAGGGAGTGGGATATCTTGGCTAATCAAGTATCATCTGTACCTTAGACAGATGTCCGATTGTTCAAGTAAACCTAATTTTTAAATAGTCAACCTCAGTGTACTCTTTCACTAATGATCAGAACTCTACTCTGCAGCATCTTCATGAAGAGGAATTAGCATCCTGATGTGCAGACAACGAAAGAACCCCGCACAGGGAGTTCTCACTGGACAACAAGGTTTTCTCTTCAAAGAATCCATTAGATCATAACCACATACTTTTCAATGGTCGTCACCCTTTATTCCATAGGTGGACCCCCACTGTGAGCCAGGCTATACCTCTCTTTAGGACTAATTCCACTCACCTAAACCTAAAGCAAACTAATTAAGCCATTCTGAGTTCAGTCTGCTGTTTCATGCTTGATGAAAATAATTTTGTTTACCACAATTATGTGGATGTCTACATGCAATGCACAATTAGCACGGTTAACAACAAACACGAGGGTACTAGTTCTGTACCTCCGCCCCCACATCTGGTGACTGTGCGTAACAACTGGTATTGAGACTGTAACAGGATCTGAGAATAGAGCTCTTAGTACCCGAAACATGTTCTAAGTGAGGCACTTGTCTCTGATGGCAACTGTCGGACAGGCCAGGACTCACTCATTCTGTTGGCAAAAGCTCAGAGTTTGCAAGAAGAAAAAATAGCTGGCGATGGGCATTAGGCCTGTTCTCCAATGGATAGGAGTTACCTTTAGAAAATGAAATGAGTAATGGGGTGCCTGGGTGGTGCCGTCAACTGAGCACCCAACTCTCAGTTTTGGCTCTGGTCCGTGATCTCAGGGTCATGAGATGGAGCCCCACCTTGCGCTCCGTGCTCAGCAGGGAGCATGCTTGACATTCTCTCTCTCTCATTCTCCCTCTGCTCCTCCCCTTCCCCATGCTCGCTCCCTCTCTCTAAAATAAATGAATAAATCTTAAAAAAAAAAAGAAAGAAAGAAAATGAAATCAGTAACATAAAGACAGGGACTTTTATCTTATTCTCCAATTTATCATCAAATAATTTTTTAAACTATGAGGAAAAGCAGACTGTGACCTTGATTCCTGATACTAACATATCTGGGTAGGAGCTCAGATTGACATTTTGGCACCAAGAGTTCTACTTTTGCACCCCCAAATCAAGCACTATCCATGTAATAGACTCTACTGTGTTTCCATTCTGGCCAAGCACGCCCTCATCCTCAGATCTGGTCACTCTGTCTTGAAGCTGTCAGGCAAGGACTGGAGGGCAAGAACAGGAAATAACGAATTTTGTGAAGATGTAACCATTCTTCTAGAATAGAAACAGCAGAGTATTGATGCATAACACATATTAACATGCCCAATGGAGGAGTCCATGGCACAATCAAGAGGAACTATCCTAGGAATTGAGGATTATTGTGAACAAAAATAAAACACATCAAAACCAATTATTCTTAAAATAGATTTAAAAATATTCTTTCAGTTTCCCATAAACTAAATAATAAAACCAAGATCCATTCTTACCAGTATGCCTTTGAGCTCATTCACGGCACTCTCAGAGCCTTTTGAAGATTCTGGCTACAATTTTAAAAAGAAAGCACAATTAATAATTCAGTTTAAAAATACCAAACAGAGATATTTACATGGCAAAGTATTGGCAGCTTCTATTGACTATTTTTTTTTAAAAATTAGGTCTATGTCTTACAGTTAGGAAAAAAGATTAGCAGGTTAGTGCTCCTAAGTAGCGGCGAAACAGAAAATTAGGGGAAGTAGTCAAAGCAAGAGGAATCAAGCTCCCATCTTCTAAATGCCATTTTGTCACTTCTTGTCATCATCATACAGAGAAAAGGTTTGGTAAACACCAGACTTCAAGGATTCAATTTCAAATATTCAGAACTTTTTACAATAAGCATAGCTGGACGGGCGCCCGCAAGCGAGGGGCAGGAGGGAAGGCAGCAGCGCGGGGCAGGCAGCAAGCGACCGGGCAGAAACATCTCTCAGCTCCGGTAGCTCCAGGGGACTGGCGTGTCTGGTTTCAGGAATTTCATAACAGCACTGAGTCAGGAGCAGGGGTCAGCAAAGAGCCTGGCTTCACAGGAGAATGTCAGCATCACTGGCCACCGAAGCAGTAAGAGAGGCCTTAGAGGGTGCACATGCAATCCCTCCGTCTTACTTGTGAGGAAAGGTGCACCTTGAGAAAGGTTGTATTTGAGTCTTGATGACAAGCCCAGTTGGCATCTGGCGTCTGACTATGCCATGAACAAAATAACTTGAAATGAAGTTCTGGGGAATACTCGCCCACCCCACAATACCTGAGAGTCTCTGTGGATCCCTTGGCTAACTTAGTGAAGGGAAAATCTAGCACGAGGTTCTCAAAGACCTCTGATCTACCCCGTACCACCTCCTTTCACAAAGGACAGAGATGGAGAGAGACCCTACAGGGAACTCCCTGGCCTCTCATTCCTGGAAGAGGTAAAGCTAATTTCTCTCTCATCGAGATGGGAAGTGATCAATAGCGACCTATAACCCTTTCCTCTCAAAAGCTAATAAAAGAATAAGATTCCGTTCCCATTTTTTTTTTTTTTTAATGGACGTGAGAGAAAGAGGGAGAAAGGGAGCAAGAGAGGGAGAGAGGCGGTGTGGGGGGGAGAGGGAGAGAGGTCTGCTGCTCAGGTACAAACTGGACGGAGACATTCCACTTTCATAGTCTACGCTTTCTGGGAAACACACGTGCCATCTGCGCCAGTCACAGGTGCCTGTCACAGGTGCCAGTCCAAAGCTCCAAGACCCTAATCACAACCACAACAGTATCCACGACGACATCCAGGAATTTAGAAAATATGCGGTTAAATTAGTGTTCTCCAGGCAGGCCTGACTTGTGCAGGTACGCTGCGCAGGGGACAAGCTGCCGCCACGCCACCACCTCCGGACTGCAGGCGCCTCCTACAGGCCGGAGCCTGTGACCTGGGCAGGAAAGCACCGCTGTCCTGTGCCGGGGAGTCTGGTAGCGCATGCAGTGACCACTTTTTCCAAGGTTACTGAGCGGGTCATTCAGCACTACCTCTACATGGTTGCATGGTTACCCGGGAAACACCCAGTAGTCCAGTGCTCCTTGTTCAGCTGTTCTCCAGCTCTGAACTGACATTAAATAACGTGTAACTGTTGGAAGAGTCATAGCAAGAAGGAAGAAGGACAAAATGATCCTCTGAAAAGGAAAGTACATACAGAACACTGATCGCTTAGGATTTAACAGGTTTTCAACACTTTTGTCTCTAAACTAATTTTGCTTCTCCGTGACGTTGCATTTTTCTCTAGTCTGTTTGGTTTGGCTGATTCATTCCGAAACAGTTGTGACATGAAAGTCTTAAAAATGTATTTACGTCAAAGATTCCACTGAGATCCCCCGTTTTCAAGCGTTCTCACACTACTGTCCACTTGAGCCTGACAACAACCCTGTGAGGGGGAGAGGGCCGGCACTCTGCCCATTCTTGGGAGAGAAGAGCTTGGGAAGCGGGGGAGTGGGGGCGGGTAGCGTCTGGCCCCAGCTCCATCAGCAGTGAACTTCAGGCGCCAGACACCGGCAACACGTGGGCCGGACTGAGGGCGCTCCGTCCCTCCCCTGGAAAACTGCTCTCCGAGCACTCGCGCCGACCAGCAGTCCATGCGGCCGCGAGAGCTTCCATTTCACTGTACATCAATCTACTCTTGCAGCTGGGTATTCTTTCCCTCTTTCCAACCCCCTTTCCACGGGCAGCCCCCCCCCCACCACCACAACAACTCCTGCCCTGCCCGGCCACCTCACCTGCCGGTGACCAAGTGGTGACTTTTAAAGTCCAGCAGAATTTGTACTTAATAGTCATGAGACTTGAGGCCCCTGAAGCAGGTGAAGAGGAGCATCCATGAGTGTAATAAAGAACATTAAAATTTGGTTCAGAAAAAGAAGAAGAAAGAGGACCCATCCGTTGATGCTTTATGACAGGGAGAAAACAAACAAAAAAAACCATTTTTCAAGACAAATATCAAAAACCCTATTGTTGGTCTATTTCAATGCGACACACCTACGAGAGAAGGGAGAACTAGGCTCTAGGCACTTTGCTAGATCTTGGCGCTCACTGCGGCAGCAGCTGATGTATATATATAAAATGTTCTCCTTGAAGCGGCCTGGACCAGGTTTGTAAAAATAATGAGATCATACGAACCTCACTATTTTTCAAAAGTTGTCTTAAGTCCGTTCTGACACTATCATGCGATGCCACCTGCCCACCCGGCCCCCGGCCCCTCACACGGAAACAGAAGCCTCAGGAAGGGCAAGGATTTTTGTCTTTTTTGTTTCCTGCTTTATCCCCAGGGCCTAATACAGTACCAGGCACACAGGAGATACTCAATCCATACTTGTTGAATTACACAAAAGGAATTAAAGAAAAGAAAGTGTATGATCATTATTTGTTCGGTGCAGCAGTTCATATCAAGCAGAGGACAGCACCTGCAACAACAGGACTTTCTTTCTATAGGGATTTAGGTTAACTGCGGCTCAAACAGGAGTCCTGAAACATGCCTGTATAAGAGTAGAGGCTTTTATGACACATTAGCCTTATCCTAAGATTTCACAGTCAGCCCTGATGTCGCTTTCATCAAATTTCAAACTTTTACACTTGAAAAAGGAAGCATCACAGGAGGGGGAACATTTAGGCATTCCATACCTTTGCCTTCGGTCTAGCTGTCTGATTAACGGGTCTAAGATGAACTCCCTTTTTAATTCTATCCATCATCTCTTCAACTGCTTGCCTCTTCAGATCCGTGACTTCTTCAGCTATCAAAGAACACACACAGAAATCATCTTATGTTACAAGAAAACAGCTACTTTCTATTCCAATGCACTTTGTAATTAAGCACAGCCGCTTTTCAGACAGAATCATAAGACATCACAAAACAATTTACTGAGGTTAACAGCTACCAGGTAGCCACAATTTTTTTTTATTAAAAGAATCTTTTAATAAAAGACCTGTTTTTTAAAAAAATTAGAGTTATAGGGGTGCCTAGGTGGCTCAGTCAGTGAAGTGTCCTACTCTTGATCTCAGCTCAGGTCCTGAGTTCAAGCTCCACGTTGGGCTCCACTTAAATAAAATAAAAATAAAAATAAAATAAAAATTAGAGTCATAAAATTTAAGGTCTAATTTGTAGCCTGGAAATCAATATTGGCTCATCTCTGTTAAACAATTAAAGTGGATTCGGTTCCATTTGTCAGCATAATGATAAGACCTGAATTTCTCCAGCTTTCTAGCTAACTCCAAATATTCATTCGTCTTTGCCTCAGAGATGTTTTTATAACATCCTATGTCAAAGAAATCATCCCAAAGAAGGAATAACTATCAAAAAGCCCATTTGAAAGTAAAAGATAAAAAAGATCTGTTAACATGTTGGAAGAAATACACAGACAGAAGATGAACAGCAGATACGTAAAATCTATTTTTAAATTGCCATCTTTTGTTTAGGAATCACAATGGAAGGAAACATTTAAGCAAACCTTTTTCAAGTCTTTTTAAATTGTCAATGTTAAAAGAAAACATACACCCAGAAATGATTGCAATTAAGTAATGAAATATGATTAAAAAAATTTCAACTGTCTATTGTTTAACCTTTGCACTATTTTGCCGCAAAACAATAATGCTGTTGAAATATACATGAATTAGATGAATGTAGCTGAGGTGGGCTTAAAGCTATTCATCATAATAATGAAATTTGTCTATTGCACAACAGCTTGACCAAAGGCCCTCAATCGTTTCTGGAACGTTTATCACCATTAATGCCATTCTAGATCTCATGTTTACATCCGTCTCATTCACTGCAACCAATATATTTAAGTTTAAATACCTCATGAAGACCTTCCTTTTAGGCCGTTTAGCCTAATTTAGCCTCTACAACATGGGGCATATGGTAGGCACTCAGCAAGTATCCACCTGCTGACTGACTTGTTAAACTTTTGGTTTTATATGGCTGTTAATATTTTTGCTATTTGAGCAGAAATAGCCGAAGTCCAAAAGGACAGTTTCTAAATGGAGGCCATCACAACAATGTCCCCAAGCCAAGGGACAGGAGTGTCAGGCTTTGCACTAATAAGGCTTATTACATCGTGGCTTCTTTTCTACCACGTGGACTTCACGCTAACACTGAGTAGCTATTTCTCTTACGTTATGCCTCAGGGAGCAACCAGAAGAATCCAGAAGGTTCCACCATCCTCACCTTGACAACACCACAGTGATGGGATCACTGCTATACCCACTGTACAACCCAAGTCTTCCGATACAGTCCTAACTTCAGATAGGGTCCTGTCATCTTCATGGGCCATTGAAATGTGGGGAATGAAAAGTTCTCAATACCCAAACAGCATTTTTCAGATCCAGATGGCAAGAAAGCATCTTTTGCCAGGCAACATGGGAAACATGGCACTGAAGTCAGAACTCACCCACCAGTAAATGAAAGAAAGCAAAACTGTGGGTTGATCAACTCTGTGCCCTTAAGTAGCATTTTCTTGGGCAGCTTCTGCAGATGGCTCCCAAACATCAACAAGGAGACAGACAAGAAAATTACTATGGAGAGAAATTCATTCATTCATTCATTCACTCACTCACTCATTCAATTTATCTGAATACCTATTATGCACAACATGGTGCTTGTGCTGACCCTACTCAAAGTCAGGGGAGATAAAACCCAGATCTGCAATGTGCAGGTATGGTAAGGGTATGGAATTTATTCCTGAGAATTTTTTTTTTTTTGAATCCTAAAAAAAAATTTGATTTTTCAGAAAGCCTGCCATTTTGAGTGAGACTTGAGAAGAGCTGCATGGCAACAGGAACAAGGCCGACAAACAGATTAGCGCTCTGTAAGGAAGGACTGAAACCCAATTAAATGCACCATACAAAAACTAATTAAGGCAGACAGATGGAGAATTATGGTCGACACCATTCAAATCTGCTGCAGCATCTAACATAACAGGAATTTAAAGTAGTTTCTTATTTTTGCTTGCCAGAATCATAGTGATAATTCAGAGAAGTGCCACTATCTGTATTGTGTACAGATTATAAACCAGGCTTTAATTTCTTAGTCTTTTCCAAATGTAAAGGCTTAATTGGTCTTAAGGAAAAGAAATCACTCTTATCAGATTCCCTACGTGGGCACAATACAAGGGCAATGCTAGGTTAGCTACACAAGCTTTCGCTCTCACCGACCCTGTTTTTGAACTAGCTAAAAGCAATCTATGCGAACTTCTAAACTATTAAGTGGTTCTAATAAATCTGCAAGGATCACCTACAGAGAGCTCATGGCATGTTTTGTAATTCTTTTTGCGATCATGCAGTTAGTAATTGTCTCACAAAAGCCTGTAATCAGAAGGACAATGGAAATATGCAGGATACTGGAGATTAAAGAAAAAGGACAAATGAAGACAACAGGTCTAACGTCACTGAACTGCCACAGGAAAACCAAATCAAATGTTCTTTGAGTTAGTGCTTCAAGGTCAGTCTTAGATCAGAAAGCTACATGTAATTAATTGAGGCTTAAATTTTAAGACCCACTTGAAAAGTAAGTTCGTTCCTCAAAGAAAAGACCTACAGACAAAACCATCACCTTGTTGCTCAATAAAGCCTTTTTTTATTACCTAGAAGAAACGAAAATGAATTTCTAAGTTCCACAGGATTACTTTTCTCTTTCATTAACATTTTTAAAAAGGCACTTAAAAAGAATCTTATGCCACCATGATGTACAAAATTTCTAAAGAACACATCATGGTTGAATAAGTTTGAATTCGACCTAAGGTCATAAAGTTAAGGATATTTCCTTAACTACAATGATCACAAGAGCCTGCTGAATGGGGACTTCTGCCCCTCAAAGGGTGGTTGGAACCCTGTCTTTCTTTTTTTTAGCTAACATTTTGAGTATCTGAGTATATGCTGGTTACTAAGCTAAATACGTCACATGTTAGGAGACTCATTAATTCTCACAACCACCCTATGAAATAGGGATTATGATTATCCCCACTCAGCAGGTTAGCAAACTGAGGTAAGAAAATGTCAACATATTAATGACCTAAATATTCGATAAACAGCAAGCATATCTCTAAAATCTCAGAACTTGTCCAATACATGCATGCTTATCAAAATTAGAGTTGTTAATTCAAAATTTGTTAATTATTTCTTACATTTAGACCTTAAAACTACGTCTAAAATATTCCACAGACCTTCCCCTACAATTACACTTTTTAAGAGCCATACCCTAGCAATGCAAGTTTCTTCATCCATCAGCTCTGAGAAGCATACCAACTAGCTAGTGAAAGCCATCATACGATGCTAACAAAAAATAATACTGTGATAGCAAGACTGGTCCCTACTTATAAATGTGAAGTCTGAAGTGTCACAGACAACCCCAATGTTTGATGCTCTGCATTCATTCATCATGCATTTAATCATTGTTGATTTATTCATTCAACAACTATTTTTAGTGTGAACTGTTAATAAGACACTATAAATAACTACCCTGCCAGACAGAGAGAGGCTGCAACCATGTCTGCCTACGGTCCATATCATTTAAGGCGGTACAGTTTTAGGGTGGCTTCAGTTTGAAGTCTCATGAGTGACTTCTGTACCAGTAACTCTACTTAAATATCCCAGGTAACAACCCAATAGCTCAGGAATGAGGGAGAGAACACTGCCCCATATCATGAATCGTAAATGAAACATCACTTTCATGAAGAAAACTATATGGTTTCTAACACTGGGGTTAATAAGCTTAGAATACTTTTTTTTAAAACTTAAGGGTGCTGTCGAGGTTGACAAGTTAATAATGTCATTTACTTAGAAGGGGATATCATTTTATTCTGACTGCCCTCCTGACCCTCTAAGCGTTACCAATTGTCCCAAAACAGATTGAAACAAACAAAATTTTAAGTTTAATTAGAGTATCAGGAAGGCTTATAGCCAGTAACACAGGCTCAGGGCTACCCTGCAAATCGCCAAAGCCAAGACTTCTGAATCCTGCAATGCCTTGTGGCAAGCAGAATGTCCCTTTCAGCAGGACTATGAGAGGAATAGGTTCCAAAGGGTTGTAGGAGGCAGGCACCAAAAGTCAATTTATACAGATGAAATCAACTAGCTTTCATCTGTAATGGTGCTGCGAGTTTTTGGCAAAGAAGGATAGGGCTAGGTCTAAACTTGGATTCACTGAAGGTGCATGCAAGCTGCGAGAGACTTGCAGGCAGGAGCAAGCCCTCAAAGAGCTTGCAATCAGTTCCAGGGGAGAGACGTGGAAATAACCCCAAACACCACATCAGAGGCTGGGGGGTGGAACATTATAAAATCTGAAGCAAAATGCTACCGCAACGCACAGCAATGAGCCAATACTAAGGAGCTAACCCTCGGAAACAAGAGGAAGTGGAGGGCAGAGCCTGGAACCTACACAGGAGCCGTGGAATCAGAGCCCCCTGCCCGGGAAAGCTCTGAACAGAGGAAAGGCAGCAGAGCAATTCTGGAATGAGGACACACAGAGCAAGTGCATAGGGGGCTTTGAGGTCACGGTCCAGCCACAAGGTAGAGCAGACGTACAGAACTGAGGCTGAAGTAACATCAGGAAACCACCGCCAAGCAGCCTACAGGGTTTGGACTCTACTGTGATGCAGTGAGAACACAGCAATGTCACAGGATGTGGGACATAGATCTGAGAACGTCACCCTGCCAATGGTAGGAAAGTGGCTGGACTGGATCGATGAACCTGGGGGCAGGAAAAGGGGGCCAAGAAGTCCACACCAGACTGGGCTTGAACCAGGCAAATCCGCCATGCTTTGTAACTAACAGGTGCTGAGCAAACATGCTGAGTTGAAAGTGGGTTCTACTGGTCTACCCGCAGCCCTGTGAGCCAGCCCTACTCCTGGCCGCCAATGCCCCTGCTCAGTGGGAAGGCCTTCTCCCTCCACTTCCATCAGTTCACGTTATCCTCGACTTCTCCCCTCTCCAGCGAGTCAGACTCCTGTAAATTGCACCTCCCGGAGCTGCTCCTGGATTTAAACACTTTTTTCTGTCTCCACTGCTACCACCCTCGTCTGAGCCATGTGCATCTGAATGACGGACAGCCACCCCCATCCTCTCTCATTCCTCTGCAGTCTGCTCCCTCTCCTCTCGCTGCAAACAGTGTGACTGCTTTAAAAAGACAAACCTCACCATGTCACACCCCTACTTAAAACTTCTCCTGCCCTTAGGATATATTTCAAAATCTTGACCACAGCCTTCAGAATCTGGCTCAGACTTCCTCTCTTGCACCCCATGTTCCAGTAAATACCAACCTTTGTTCAGTTTCCTAATGTGCCAAGCTCCTTCCCCACTCTGGACCTTTGATTCGGTTGCCCCTCTATGGGAACTACTTTTATTCTGAATACCCCCATCCTGACTTCCTAAATCCAAACTACTCGGCTTAAGCATCTCTTCCTGATACCAGCAGTCCCTCTCCTTCCTCTCTTAGAAACGTGTGCTCTTCCTCCAGGTAATCGTCCTTATTTACTTCCTGCCTCCCCCTCTCATGTCACTTCTATGTCTTCTGTCTCCAGCACGCAGCACGAGACCAGTACATAGCAGGTGCTTGATCAAGTCTCAGTTCACTTGCTATCAACTCTAAAAAGTCTTTCCCCAAACCCCTCACCTGGAATCACTCCCTCTCTTTCCTTTATACCTCCTCCTGGAGAGAACCTCATCCTGTAAAGAAGACATATCCCAGCAGACCGCACATTACAGGTGACCTGCTGTAGACAAGGAGCCACATGAAGGCAGGGACCATTACCTTGTTCCTTCTTATCAGCTGCTAGGTTCACATTTCTCCCCAAATAATCTGTTCACAGTCAAAGAACTCAAAGACTATGTGTGTTGTTGAAAACCTGGGTTGAAACCACTGAAAGTAAACCAAAGGGGTTGAGAATTACTTGTTTCTGGTTGAGCTGCCTTTTCTTTCTTAGCACCACTGCCGCTGGGATGGGATCGCTTCCGGATCATGGACATGAGGGATCTTTGGGAGAAAGAAAAAGAACGACAGAAGATTACTGGACGCCGGACGATTCAAGAAATAAAATGTACTGATTCAAAATAATCAGTAAAAATCCAATTCTCCTCTAGGTACATAAATGGATAGCTAGAATTTAGGAGTCTACTTTCCACTTTTAATAAATTACTGAACTTTTCAGCACTTTAAGGAAGAGAAAGAGGTCTCATCCCTTTCTGCGTGGAACCAAACTCATTACTCTAAGAAGGGAGCCACTATAATTACCATTACAATACTGGGCAGGGTAAAACAGAAAAAAAAGCCAATATCCATACCTACAATTCAGAAAGAGCTATCTATGTAATACGTTTGAGGGAGAGGGAAAAATCAAAGAATTAGGGGATGTTTTCAGTAAACATTTACCTGTGAAATATGGGCATAAAACATCTGAATCTGAGTGACACAGAACAGATGCTTAAGGGATAAAATACATTTAGACCACAATCTCTCTGGTCCATGTTTACAAAATCTACATAAAATCCAAATCATGAAAAATTTGACCACATTAAAATTTTAAGACCTCCACATATTAAAAGACAGCATAAAGAATAAAAAGAAGTCAGAGGAGCATGTGACTCTTGATCTCAGAGTCGTGAGTTTGAGCCCCACGTTGGGCGTAAAAACTACTTAACTTAAAAAGAAATTTAAAAAAAGAACTTAAAAAAAGAATAAAAAGAAACTCAAACAGCAACAAGAAAAAGCATACAACCAACAGAAAAAATGGACAAAAGCCTTGAAACTCCATAAAAGAGTAGTCCAAATCTCCAAAATATGTACCAAAAAGAGTGCTTGACTTCACTAGCTACTATAAAAACACAAATGAAACCCACATTGAGATATTACTACACAGTCATCATCAAACAGGCAAGAAATTGCAAGTCTGATAATATCAAGTGTCGGTAGGTCTGTGGAATAACAAGAAGACAATGGATGAACTTCAAACTGAAGACGGTAGATGAGCCGATGGTGCCACTTTGGAAAACCTGTCTGGCATTATCCAGTGGAGCTGAAGACAGACAGATCCTAGGAGCCAGGGATTTCACTTCTATCTTACAGAAATGCAAGCCCTTGTGCACCAGGATTCATTTGCCAGAATGTTTGTGTAGAATTTCCAGAACTTCCCTGAACTGGTAATAACTCAAATGTACAAGGGCCATAATGGATAAACACATTTTCAGACGTTTATAAATAAAATAGATTATGGGGGCGCCTGGGTGGCTCAATTGGTTAAGTGGCTGCCTTCGGCTCAGGTCGTGATCCCAGGGTCCTGGGATCGAGTCCCGTGTCGGGCTCCCTTCTCAGCGGGGAGCCTGCTTCTCCCTCTCCCTCTGCCTGCCTCTCTGCCTACTTGTGCTCTCTCTCTCTCTAATAAATAAATAAAATCTTTAAAAAATAATTATGTATCCATGAATATGGATGAATTTCAGCTACCCAACAGAACATGGATGAACCTTACAAAATAACGTAGAGTAAAAAGAACAAGACCCAAATGAATACAGTAAAATTCCAATTATATAGTTAGGAAAAAAAAATGTATATTTATAGGAGTTCAGGGATATGTATGTAGGAAAAATCTGTTTCTTTAAAAACAGGCTACCAGTATTTTTATTTCTTGATTTGGATGGCAAACACATGATGTTCACTTCATATTACTTTTAAACTGTACATAAGTTGGTGTATGTTCCTACATATATGTTATCAGTCTCCCCTCAAAAAAGTTTACAAAAAAACCAAATGAACCAAGGATTCTTGAACTATATTATAAAAATGTTCATTATAAATATTCTCGGTGTGGTAAACCGGATTTGACAAAATTCAGTCGTGAGGAAGCCAAGCTGGGAATGCTACGTCTAGAAAAAGGGGCACCTGGATGCACATGGCAGTACCTGGCTGAGGACAGAACAACTCCATGTTTCTTAATCACCATAATTTTTAGATTTTTTTTTTAATTTCTTAGTTCTGCCTTGAGATCTATTATTAATCCCCTCTCTAACTGCTTTTTCTTAAAATTCCCAAACACACTGAACAATCTCTCGCAAAGCACAGGGAAAAGAAAGCACTACACTCAGCTCTACCCTGTGAGGTTTCTAGAACTTACCAACAAGCATATTTTATTCCTGAAGTTGGGAGAAATGAAATCATGCAAACTTTATTTGTGCATGTTCCCCATTCCGTCACTGAAGGCAGGACTACTCAATGTCTACAGGCTAACATTCCATGGTAGCGTGGGGCTTGGAGAGGGTTCTCCCCAGGCAGGGCCTCATCTTATCCTCTCCCAACACTGCAGTGAACCCACTGCTGACTCTGAAATTTTCAAGATTACAAAGCAGGAAGATATTTGTACTGCTTAGAATATTTGTATATGTTGGGCGCCTGGGTGGCTCAGTCGTTAAGCGTCTGCCTTCGGCTCAGGTCATGATCCCAGGGTTCTGGGATCGAGTCCCGCATCGGGCTCCCTGCTCGGCGGGAAGCCTGCTTCTCCCTCTCCCACTCCCCCTGCTTGTGTTCCCTCTCTCGCTGTCTCTCTCTGTCAAATAAATAAATAAAATCTTTAAAAAACAAAAAAAAGAATATTTGTATATGTTTACATAAATGAAGTCAAAATCGATGTTCATCATTGCGAACCACCTAAATAGATGAGAGGAAGTGCTAACTTTCACTGTTCGGAATTAAAGTATAAGCTGGAGCTTCCTACGTGCCCAGAGGAAAATCATCCATAATATTTTTAAAAAGAGCCCCCTTAGATTACAATAAAGCAGGTCTCACAGGACAGATCAGAAGATCAGGATAAGACATCTGGGACCTATAATCCAACCTCTGGCTAAAATTGCCCCATTTCACAGTCAGTTCAATTGAATGCATAAAAGCTTCAAGCAAGAGCCCCCAAAGATGGCACAGTTTGGTGGAAAATATTTACTTTGAAATTCTTTTTTTTTTAAGATTTTATTTATTTATTTGAGAGAGAGAGAATGAGAGATAGAGAGCACGAGAGGGAAGAGGGTCAGAGGGAGAAGCAGACTCCCCGCCGAGCAGGGAGCCCGATGCGGGACTCGATCCCGGGACTCCAGGATCATGACCCGAGCCTAAGGCAGTCGCCCAACCAACTGAGCCACCCAGGCGCCCTTGAAATTCTTTAATCAGTGTTTCTCATGCCAGTGTGATGGTTAATGTTATAAGTCAGCCTGGCTGGGTCATGGGATACTCAGATATGTGGTCCAACATTATTCTGGGTATTTCTGTGAGGGTTTTGGATAAGATTAACATTTAAATTGGTAGCCTGAGTAAAGCTGACTACTCCCCAATGTGGGTGGGCCTCACACAATCAGTGGAAGGCCTGAATAAAACAAAAGGATGACCCTTCCCTAAGTAAAACAGAATTCCTCCTGCCTGACTACCTTGACATAAGGACATCTGCTTTCCCGGCTTCCAGACTTGAAACACTGCCTCTTCCTGGGTCTGGAGCCTGCTGACCTGCAGACGGAGACCACACCATAGGCTCTCCTTTGGCTCCAGCTTTTCGACTCACCCTGCAACTTGCCAGAGTCCATAATCATGGGAATTAATTCCTTAGAATAAACCTTGTATGTGAATGGACATGATGTATACACATGTATGTATACATGTACATACACACACCCCTACTGGTTCTGTTTCTCTGGAGAACACTGACTAATACACCAATAAACCTACCCTTCCCCCTTGAGCCACACCTGCCCAGGACCTCTCCGGTGTTCACTACTGCTGGTGCAACATGACCAAGGTCTACTTTCTTCCTTGACTTCCTCTCTCCCACCTGTCCCCTGGGTCAAATGAGCAGGCCCTAGTCTTTTTTTTTTTTTTTCCCCGCTTTCATTTCTATCTATGATCTCTGTCAGGGTGAAATAAATGAGGCTCAGGAACAAAGTCAGAAAACCTTGACTGGTGGATTTAAAGTCCACTGAAACTCAATACATATGCAAATATATTTCTCTGACAAGAAAGTACTCCTTACCAAAAAAAAAAAAAAAAAAAATCTTTCTACTGAGAAATTACATCTTCTACTACCTAAATTCATCTTAAAATAAAAATCATTCATGTTATTCAATGAAAATTTTCTTTAAAGGGCCTTATAAAAGAGTTCATGCTTTAGACATATATAGTCTGAATCCTACATTCATTTCTCAGTAACACTGTAAAGTGCTCTTTGGGAAAATATTCTATTTAGGTTATACTTTACTTTTAATTCCAAGGGTTTCCAGATTTGTGAGACTAAAAATTAAAAGCCAACAGCAAGACTATAATCATGTTTTTAATATTCTCCCTCCTCATAGACAGAAGTGACCTTTCTTATTAGCTCAAAATTCTACACCTTAGAGAAAGATCAAAGTGATGAATCTCCTATTTTAAGTGTCAAATTCAGGATATCTCCAACAGATTTTAGCTACCCAGGACAGAAAGAATTTAAAATACCTGAAATTCTTTCAATGGACTCTTGGATCAATCATGTGTAAAAATTATTCTGCCTTGGCTACTTCACTGGCTCAAAGTAGATTATGTCATACCCTCCTCAGTAAGAAAAACTAATGAGAATCTTTTTAAAAGGCAGTCTCATTTTCATCGTCGTGTGGGGGGAACAGGCTACACATTCTATTCACACAGATCAGCAAAGGTGCAAAGTAGGAATAAATGGCCTCTCTGTGTGAAAGGATTAAACAAATCACATGAGTTAATGAAAGGTAAAAAATCTAGGAAAAGTTTAAATTCCATTTGTTCAAGAATAAGTTATACAGAAGCAGCCACGACAAGGAAGTTGTGTCCTGAGTAACTCTGGGTGGTGGTGGAATGAAGAACCACGAAGGAGGAAAACTTGCCTCTAGGTTTCCTGGGGTGTACCGTGCTTAATTCAGGCACTCAACACCACCAAGTCACCTCAGGCTCCAGAAAAAGTGAATTCTTGTCTGCATATATGATTCCCTGTCACAAGAATGTAAACCCAATTTCTTCTTCTTATGGAAGGTTCTTCTCTCGGCATTATTAAAGGTTTAAATATGAGGTTAGGGATAAAACATAATTAGCACTCTGAGCTTAATTACTAGTGTGTAACAATTAGTACTGATAAGTTTTTGTTCTGTTTAGTACTTTTATTTTTAAAGTAAATGAACAAACCAGAGCTTTTCAAATTCAAATTAGGGCAAGAAAAGATTAAAAAAAAAAAAAATTGGGGAAAAAGCTCAAAATTCCTTGGTCTTCCAGTTAAAGGAAATCCTAACGTCATGGGCTGAAATCTTAACACTGAAGTATCAAACTTCTTAAATGAATGTCCAGCTCCTGGGTTGGGAACATCCACATGGGATCTGAACATCTATAGCAGAGGAAAGTGGCAGGCCACAAGAATGTTTCTGCCAGGTGTTTCTTAGGGCCCTTTCTATAAACATTACAAAAGAAGGGAGTGATATATTGGTCTTTAGAAAAATCTTCTGAGAGGGGCGCCTGGGTGGCTCGCTGAGCTGAGTGGCTGCCTTGGGCTCAGGTCATGATCTCAGGGTCCTGGGATGGAGCCCCACATGGGACTCCCTGCTCAGCAGGGAACCTGCTTCTCCCTCTCCTCCCTGCTTGTGCTCTCTCTCATGATCTTTCTCTCTCAAATAAGTAAAAATCTTAGAAAAATAAAAATTTTAAATTAAAAAAAAAAAAAAGAAAGAAAGAAAGAAAATTTTCTGAGAGAAATACCAGCCGGTTTGTTTCAGAGTTTTTAGCACCCATCCCTCCGAGGACAAGGACGCAATCTAAGACAGTAGTTCTGGGTTCTGTTTTTAAGGAAGGGATCCCACTAGCACACACTTCAGGTTCTCTGACGAGGAACGACTCAATGCAGAGCAGTCTCCCTGCGCAGGCTTACCGGATGGGATTGGGGGGAGGCGGGGGGAGCGGCGGTGGAGGTGGAGGTGGTGGAGGTACGCAATTCTCAGACTGGTTCACCCGTTTCTGGAGTTCATCAACTGCACAGAGAACAAGCATTCAGAAAGGAGCCCAAACAAGCCACTAAGCACCTTTTACACACATAAAGGAAAAAAAAAAGTAACCTCTCTCAAAATCAAATTCATGGTATTAAGGCAAAGTTAGAAATCTCAGGATGAAACTGCAGAACATCTTAGCCTTTTCATCATCCAGGCTGCGACCACAAATACAAGAGGGGCCTGACGTAGGTTACAAGAAAACATTACTGTCTTATGGCCGTATGTACAACTATGGAAAAGAAAAATAATTCAGGACAACGGCTGGATGGGTGGGAGGTAAGGACTGAGTAGGCTGAAGAAATATTTGTTAACAATGGCATGTATTACTCAAAACACTAAGAAATTGTGAATACTTGACTTTTAAAGGGTATAGACCAGGAACTAATTTTTAAAGATGACATTTAGTAATGAATTTTAATAACATACTTTCCTCCTCCACCTAATTTCCTTCCAAAGTTGCAAATCCTGGAGTTCTTGGTTTTAACCAGACTCAGACTCTCAAATGTCTGTAACTTCAGAAACTTTTTGCTCTTCTGAAGGAGCATTCTGGAAATAGAATTTATACACTCAATTCATTCACGTCCTTAATGAAGCAGGTATTTTGGCACCAATAATGTGAAAGGGTCTATGCTTGGTGCTGTTCAAGACAGTTTATGAGTTCAAGGAGCTCGATTTCAATGTTCACTGCAGATGCGAATACCTCTAAGACGGGCTCCAATAGGCTCTAGGTACAGAATACTGTGTGCACTCAGGAATGGCTCCCTCTGTCCCCAGCCATTCCTCTCTCCATGAACGACTGCACCCCCAATGATCTGCCTGTTTATTTCTACTCTCAACACTTAAATAAGCAGTGTGGGCTATCTCTCTGAGGGCTAAGAGTCCTCTAGTTATTCATATGCATGTGTCTGTCTCTCCAAAGGGAGTTTGAGCTCCTCAAGGACAAAAGGCATGGTTTCTTTTCTTCCAGATTTCTTATAGTATCCTAGGGTATGGCTGGCATACACACAGCAGATACTAAATAAAACATACTCAACACTAAATCTCAGGTTCTCTTTTGTGTCTGCCCCCTCCATAAATAAAAAAGATGGCTTTGGCCACAGGCTGCCTGGATATTCACTTAAAAAGAATGGAACACTTCTTAATTTTAGATCAGTTTTTTAAAAAAGTAAATTGCAAGTCATTTTCATTGTGGGTTAGAAAGCACTGAATGTTTTTTTAAAGGGAAAAAAAAGCCTACTTGGTTCTTCTATACGGATTTCAAAATTCTAGTATAAAATTAACCAAAAATACCTCAAGTGAATATTGAAGCGGTTATAAAAGGGAACAACCTGCCTCCTTAAATCACCTACCTTCCAACAGAAACTTATTACTTATCCCTGTGTAATAATCCAATTCACACATTCCTGTCAAGCCTTCTGGAACTGAATGAATAAATCCTTTGATTTAAATATCCCCTGGTGTTTTAAAAGTTTTTCCACTTAATATACATATTGTTGCCCATTTTATTGTTAGGTGTGACATTGAAAGTATTAGTTCATGGGTATAATTAGACCACAGACGAGGGTTGTATGAACCTTAAAAGTTTCTTTTTAAAAACGCACCCTAAGGGTCGCCTGGGTGGCTCAGTCGGGCAAGCATCGGACTCTTAATTTTGGCTCAGGTCATGATCTCAGGGTCATGAGATCGAGCCCCACATCGGGCTCTGCATTGGGTGTGGAGCCTGCTTGGGATTCTCTCTCTCTCCCTCTGCCCCTCCCCTACAACCCCGCTGGCTCCCATGCTCTCTCTAAAAAAGGAAAGGGAAAAAAAAAAACCCTCCCTAAAATGAACAAAATAAATACTCAATGAATACACCTATCTGTCCTATCGGAAGCCCTGAGAAATGCTGAAATGTTGGTCTTCCCAGATTAGCTGTATCTTTGTCTCTTCATTCTGTATGGGAAGCTCACACATGCTCTGACTCCACAGAGAAGTCGAAGTGCTTGTGAATCCCTGGAGTACGGTGGCCGTTCTACTGAACCAATCTTGGTATTTCTGTATAGCATTCAGCAAGTGTTCTCGACTAGCTATGGGCCGGGGTTTGTGCTGGACGCGTGGAATTCACAGACTACTCAGACACAGCAGCCCACTGGACACTTACTGGAATGCTTTAAATCTCTGGCTTTCTCCTCCGAATTCTGGTATTTCAATTCCAATTCTCTTTTATCCTCCTCCAGAAGCCCCAGCTGCTGTTTGAGGCTGCGAATCTCTCTGTGGAGTGCTGCATTTTCTAGCTGCTCTTCTAAGTCTTTCACCTGTAATTCACAAACAGACTTTTGTAGCTCTTCCTTTGTCAAGGAAAAATAAAGCGGGGAAAATCAGTTTCCCTCTACTTTGCATTTCATAGCAAAGAGATACCAATCCATCTTAAAAACCACACAAATTCTGGAGTATAGACGATACTTAAAATGCCAGCTATTGAAGTCAATATATATTGCAGACTTAATGTCTCCGATAATTAGGTGTTGAAACATGGGTCAAAAAGGTAAAATATCTAAGAAATTCATGTAAAACTGATTATTAGCTTCGTACCCGTTTTTAAGAGAAAATTCAGGTAGCATGATAAAGAACCCTTGGGGAGGGCAATTTGGTAACAAGTCAAAAACCTTAAAAACAAGAAAGAAGAAAGAAAAGGGAAAGAAAAAGGAAAGGAAAGGAAAGACCGCTTGATTTAGAAATACTACTTTTAGAACTTGCTTTAAAGAAATAGTAAAGGGGTGCCTGGGTGGCTCAGTTAGTTAAGCAACCGATGATTCTTGATTTCATCTCCGGGTCGTGAGATTGAGCCCGTATGGAGCCTGCTTAAGATTCTCTCTTTCCCTCACCCTCTGCCCCTCCTCCACTATGCTCAAACACTTGCTCTCTCAAAAAAAAGAAAGAAATAGTAAGACAAGTATTCACATGTGTTCATACAGTATTCTTCATAACAGGAAAGAACTGAAAATAACTTAAATATTCACCAATATTATGTATTTAATAAATCATGCTGTGTTCACTAACTGAAATACTATACAACCATTTAAAATCACATAGTTGGGATGCCTGGGTGGTGTAGTTGGTTGAGAATTCGACTCAGTTCATGATCTCAGGGTTGTGAGACTGAGCCCCACAAAGGGCTTCAGGCTCAGCACGGAGTCTGCTTGAGATTCTCTCTCCTTCTGCTCCTCCACCCATGCTCTCTTCCTCTAAAATAAATAAGTCTTTTAAAAAAATTAAAATAAAATCACAACGCTCACTACATGCTGACATGGAACAAGATATTACCAACTGAAACCAAATCAGGCATGGTATGATCCCATTTAAACTACGTTCATGGGGTGCCTGGGTGGCACAAGATATTACCAACTGAAACCAAATCAGGCGTGGTATGATCCCATTTAAACTACGTTCATGGGGCGCCTGGGTGGCTCAGTTGGTTAAGCAACTGCCTTCAGCTCAGGTCATGATCCTGGAGTCCCTGGATCGAGTCCCGCATCGGGCTCCCTGCTCAGCAGGGAGTCTGCTTCTCCCTCTGACCCTCCCCCCTCTCATGTGCTCTCTCTCTCTCACTCTCTCTAATAAATAAATAAAATCTTTAAAAAAATAAACTACATTCATAAAAGTATCCATTTGTGTGAAGTTTGCATAGGTACCAAGATATGGAATTCTTGGATAATCTTAATTTCTTCTTTAACTTGTACTGTATTTTAATTCTTTTTTTTTTTAAAGATTTATTTATTTATTTATTTGAGAGAGAGAGAGAGAGAATGAGAGATATAAAGCACAAGAGGGAAGAGGGTCAGAGGGAGAAGCAGACTCCCTGCTGAGCAGGAGCCCGATGTGGGACTCGATCCCGGGACTCCAGGATCACGACCTGAGCCGAAGGCAGTCGCTTAACCAACTGAGCCACCCAGGCACCCAACTTGTACTGTATTTTAAACATTTGTTTATTAGAAGAAGGATATGTTGCTTTTATCACCATGGAAACAACACAGTGTTTATTTATTTATTTTTTAAAGATTTTATTTATTTATTTGAGAGAGAGGTTGAGAGAAAGAGCACAAGAGGGGGTAGGGTCTGAGGGAGAAGCAGACTCCCTGCTGAGCAGGGAGCCCGATGCGGGACTCGATCCCGGGACTCCGGGATCATGACCTGAGCCGAAGGCAGTCGCTCAACCAACTCAGCCACCCAGGTGCCCCCACGCAGTGTTTAAAAGACAGAGAATCTGCAGGGGAATTTACAGACAGGTAAGAACTATTTAGGACCATACACATGAAAGATTACACAGAACAACTGTACAGTACAGTAGAACAGTATTAGAAGTACTGAGTAGCAATTCGTGAATTTTAGCTAATCTTCAGTATCAGCTTCTCTCTCCTCCTACCCCAACAAGGTCCATATCCAATGACTGAGTCCCACACCTCAGTCCAATTCAGTAGGTTCTAGGCCTGTGTTATTTACTAAATGGGTTAACTACAACTAATAAGACTTTTCAGAACTGAAAAATCCTAGCACGAGCTAAATAAAAATAAATATTCCTTTATTCTCTTTTTTGAAATGGTAATTCTTGCATGTGGGGACCAAAGGGGACAAAAAAAGAAAGAAAGAAAGAAAAAAGAAATTCTCTCCTCCCAAGTCTATTTCCCTAGTCCTCCTTCCAGGGGCAATCACTGCTACCATTTACTCATCTGGAGGTTCTGAACATACACCAGCATTTCTTACTGAGGGGAAAAAAAAAAAAAAAAAATCAGCTCTGCCTCAGGACCAACCTTGTAAAAACTTCAGAAACTTCCAAAGACTAAACGTCAATATTATTGTTTAAAGAGACTTTGACAGGTGATAATAAATAGCAGCTAACAACCTTTTCTTCACAAATGAGGTACACTGTAAGCAGTATAAATATTGATGTAATTTTTCTTAAGTGGTTTCTTTACCTTCAAAGCCTTTGTTAAACTTCTTTGCCTCCCCTCCCCTCCCGCCTCCTCTCTCTCACCTACTGGGATGACTACCTTTTCTGCCTGGCACACAAAGGTGGGCTGTGTCAGCTGGAACAGCTCCACTCAAACAAAATAAAATAACCACTTGGGAAGTCTTTAAACACATACATTTGTGCCAGTTTACAAAATCAGAAATTTTCTCTAAGCAAACAATTACTACTAACATGGACTTTTCCTCCCTCTTTGAATAAAACTTGTGCCTTCCAGTAAGTTCTCGGAGACTAACGTACTCTCCCAGTGTATGCGGTCTCCAAAAATACAATCAACTCACAGGTGTCCCCCCTGCGCATTATGTGCACTATACAAGCTCTTTTTGAGTTCTTGCTCTTACCTTTGCTTTTTCAGACCTTTGGACAGGTTAAAGATCATTATGACTTCTACGATAGTGCGCTGTAAATTTTACTTGGGAACTAAATTAAGTTCATTCAGTAGTTACTTTTTACTAAAAAGTAAAAAGACAGGAAAGACTTACTAAGGCCAACTAGGGAGCTGTAAGTGACCGGATTGAGCCCTCTCATGTTTGTGCGTACGTATTAAGATGCCAGAAGAAAATCCGTTACCTTTTTCTGATGCTGAATTCTCTCTTCTTCAAGTTGCTGGATGAGTTTTGCATTTTCTTCTAAAGCTTTCAAAAGCTGCTGGTCAGGAGCAGAGCTCTGCAGCAGAAGGTGGCTTTGTCTCTTTAGCTTGTTCTGTTCAATGAACATCTGCAAGAGTTAATTACAAAAACGTACATACCAATCAATCTCACGTATCTCCTCAACTGAAAGTGGAGCAACAGGAAAGTACATGGAATTTTTATTGAAAAGTTAAGGGCAATTTCTTGCTATTGTACAGTATTATAGTTTTAGAAGTAATGATTGCTATGATTTCATCCGTAACTTTCATGCACTCTTCAAGAATCTTCACCCTTCCCCTAACGAGGTATATATGCAATAATTGAGTCCTATACCTCAGTTTTTAATGTTTTATTATTGCTTTAAAATACATGAATACTAATAGTACTAGCTAATATTGATCAAGAACTTATCTTATGCCAGGTACTCTACTAAATATTTTATACGTATTATTTTAATCCATACATCAATCCTGTGAATTCTTCTGCTTTGAATAGCTAAAATTGACTAACACTATGTGATAGATAGTGATGACTTTCCATAGATCACATCATCTAATCCCTAGAATAATACTGTCAAGTAGATATTATTATTATCCCATTTTTACTAATAAGGTAAGTGAGGTTCAAAGTGGCTCAACTTTCCCAAGAACACATGAAAGTGGCAAAACCAGGATTTAAACCAAGATCTGTCTGATTTAGAAGCCCAAGCTCTTAACCACTTGGCTAATCTCCTTCCTCTGGTATTTACTAAACCTAGTGTTTTGTTTTATACCAATTAGCTTTTCCCCAGTGATGAAAGTAGTTAACGGTCAAGAGGGTAAAGAAGAGATGGGAAAAGGTACATCAATATTTATTGGCCACTTTATTAAGCAACTTACATATATTATTCATTTAGTCTTTACAAGTTCACATTTTTTAATACAACATTATTTTCTATTAACCTGTTACTTCTTTTCCTTAATACCCTACACAAGTTAGCCAGTGGGTGATTCTACACATGAAATGTTTTATAAACTCTGACATTAGGCCCATTTTATATTAGACCTTCACAGTTTCAGATTCTTAACAGCATTTTAAAGGAAGATTTACATTCTTCTTCCACCTGACAGCTCATTTCTGTGTAAGAATGAAAGGTGCTGCGAAGGCACGAGGGAATGAGTGTGTGTGTGCGTGCATAGGTGCTGAGCTTGAGGACAGTGAGAATGCAAGCATCAACATGCTAGAGAAGAGTCATCCACATCTCACCCATATTTCATCTAGTCTCTGACATCTGAAACCAATGATATAACTGAAATGAGCTATTTCGAGTTACTATTATTATTATTACAGTCATTTTTTAAATACCTTTTCCCCCTCTTACAACTTAACTTGGTTGAGGTCCCTTGCCAGTGTCTTAGCAAATGCCTTAGGGAGCCAACAAGAAGACCTGCAAATAGCAGCTGGACTCAGTGAGTCCTTTGGCTTCCTGGCAAGTGAGCCTTTCCCCAAGAGTGCTCGGAAGCCAGGAGCAGGGAGAGAGGCAGCCGTCGGTGTGGCCACCAGGCCAGACTGTGAATTCAGCGATCAAACAGTGTGCGGCACAGGCCACCGTCAGTCAGGGTGCGGCTGTGTCCCTCACTGCACTGCCTCTCCGACCTTCGGTTCGCTCTTGGGAAAAAGCAACAGTTCTCCTTCTCTACAAAGCACTCGGGAAAACTTGTTCAACTTATAAATTATCTCAACTTGGTTATTTTAGAAAGAGAAAGAGTGAAGATTATGTCTTGGGGATGTTAATCATGTGAATTTCTTTTGCAAAACCTTGTAACAATTCCTAAATAGTAATAGTATAAGATGAAAAGAACACATAGGAAAGAAATTCCTCTAGATAACCATGGTAACTGGAAAAACTTATTCATTAGACTACATTCTCTAGGCCTTAAGACACTAACATGAAATATTCTATATAGTGCCTTCTAAAGATGTGCTTAAAAGAAAATTTAGTGACCAAACACTGATGAATTTGGCTTTGAACTATGATAAGAACCTGACAGCTAGGGTTAGGGAGGTAGTCTCTTATCACACAAATGACATCATGGGTGTCAGAATTTCCAAGGATTATCATAAATCTTTTCAAAGAATGAAAAAGAGAAAAAAAGCTTATGTCACTTCTATAGGATTCATTCTTTCCAAAAGAATATTAAAATGTCATCTGTGTTGTCTGGGAAGAAAACAGAACTCACTACAAAACAGTCTCACAGTATATCCAGACTACACGTTGAATGAGGTAGCCACGCCTTTGAACAAAGAACTACACTGACCAACAAGAAAAAATATATTCTAAAAGTACAGGAAAATTTGTCATTGAAAACTGAAGTTACATTGAAGAACTACAAAAACTTAACACAGGAAGACAACTGGCTGTTTCCTCCTTATTGAGCGGGGAGGGGTACAGTTTTTGTTTTGTTTTTCACGGTCCCTTTTTTTTTCACCCGTATTTCCCATCCCCTTACCCTCCCCTCTACTCCCCTCTGGCAACCACCAGTTTGTTTTCCGTTTTGGTGGGTCTGTTTCTGCTTTTTATTTGTTTGATCTAGTTTGTTTTTTAGATTCCACAGAAAGGCAAAATCATACGGTATTTGTCTTTCTCTGACTTATTTCACTTAGCCTAATACCCTCTAGGTCTACCCACGCTATCGCAAAAGGGAAAGATCTCATTCTTCTTTATGGCTGAGTAATATTGCTGTGTGTATGTGTGTGTGTGTGTGTGTGTGTGTGTGTGTGTACTTGTGCATGCACATGTTTTTGCTTTTTATTTTTTTTTAAAGATTTTATTTGACAGAGAGAGACACAGCGAGAGAGGCAACACAAGCAGGGGGAGTGGGAGAGGGAGAAGCAGGCTTCCCGCCGAGCAGGGAGCCCGATGCAGGGCTCGATCCCAGGACCCCCTGGGATCATGACCCGAGCCGAAGGAAGACGCTTAACGACTGAGCCACCCAGGCGCCCCACGTTTTTGCTTTTTAAATGGACAAGTGGAAGTAGGAGTGTGGCAGAAACTTTCCATGTTTCCCTTTACACATTTGAGAACCGTCTGTATTTTTTTACAAGGTATAAACATTCCTTTTGTAATTAAAAATATAAAGTAAATTAACTTTATTGAATTCTAAGGCTCCAGACTCTAAGCTCCAAAGAGGCAGGGATGATGGTTGCATTCTTCACCATTATATTCCCACCAACAGCACAGTGTCTGGCTAACGAAGATGTTTGCTGAACACGTGAAAAACCAAAATGCAGAAGACTGGCACTTCTCTTGTTAAACCAAGACCTACACCTTTAAGCAGTAGTTATCTGTTGAAAAGCTGAGAGTCGGGGCACCTGGGCTGCTCAGACGGTTAAGCACCTGACTCTTCTTGGTTTCCACTCAGGTCATGATCTCATCCGCCGGGAGGCTGCGGGAGTTTCCCTGTGCCCCTGACCCCACTCACGCGCATGCTCTCTCTCTCTCAAATAAATAAATCTTAAAAAGAAGCTAAGAATCTGTAAACCACGCAAAGGGGAAGGTATATGGGTTCTAATCTAATTTTATTCACAAGAACAGTTTCTGGGGTGCCTGGCTGGCTCAGTGTGTAGAATATGCAACTCCAGATCTTGGGGTTGTAGGTTCAAGCTCCACACTGGCTGTAGAGATTACTTAAAAAAAAAAAAGAAAAAAAAAATCTTAAAAAAACCCCAAACCAACACTTTTCTTCTCACTAGTGAGTATTTGGCATCTAGATACTGTAAAACCATCCAGCACGGCTGCAAACCCCGACGCTCCCGGTAGGAGGAGTGCGAGCGGCTGCCCTGGCTTTCCCTCCTCACGCCTCTTCCGTCGCCTCAGGCGGGGTCACGTGTCCACATCGCCGGGTCAGGCGGGGTCACGTGTCCGCATCGCCGGGTCAGGCGGGGTCACGTGTCCGCATCGCCGGGTCAGGCGGGGTCACGTGTCCACATCGCCGGGTCAGGCGGGGTCACGTGTCCGCATCGCCGTTTCCACCGAGCACTACCAGGTGAAGGGCAAAGTAAGTCACTCATTTTCAGATTCTTAGCGGAATCCTGCTTCTTCGGTCAATCTTGTCTGCTACCGCATGGCCCTCAAGTTTTCTTCGAGCTGTTTTGTATTCTAACATCATTCCACGAACAGATGGAAAACTGAAAATGTCTCTCAAAATAAGACCCTGGCATTCGAGTCAAAACAAGCCCACCTTTTCAGTTTTACAGCGGAAGCATCTTCACATTATCCCCAGTCTCCCTCCCCCTCGACTGTTTATATCGCTGCAGCTTTTCCAAGCGGCTGTGACACACTTCAATTTTTTTTCTTTCTTCCAAGTAACAAGAGAACAATTTTTACTCACCTTTCATTAAAATCTCTGAATAAAATGAATCAGAATATTTCAAATCACATCTTCTTGGACTAAACCTTTCACAGAGTTCATTGCTAGCACAGCTACGTTCATGCGCAGAAGGATTTCTGCACAAAACCGTAATCTGATTTTCAAATGTCATTCCCGTAACCCCACGCTTTGTCTTCCTTCAGCACCTTGGATACTTCTGCCTACGAATGTTCTACATTTCCTTAACTACTTTCCTTCACAACCTACAGTGTGCACCCAGATTCAAAATACTGAGACATGATGGAAATCTCAGGCAGACCAGCAGCCCGTCATGAGCTGTTACAGTTTGGCCAACTGGTACCTCATCATTTCCCTGTAAACCAGCCCTGGGGCCACGGAATACCCAGCGACAACATGTCAGCAAAGGGAAGCCAGAACATGAGAAGCTTAAAGCTTATCTCTGACATGTGATTTGGTGAAAGGCTACAATGATGGATGTACAACATGGCAATGTTCCACAGCTAGTGGAAAAATCAACTCACGTAATGAGATCACCGTCTAGCAGGTGAAGAGAAATACTAACAGCATGATACTGTTACTTGAGATGGTATTTGGAGATGTAACCTGGATTCCTAAGGCTACTGAAACAGAAATCCTGTACTTGAGCTGGACTTTCCATCACAAGTGACAGGTATCCCTAAATATAATTTGTTTCCCCTATAACAGCATTTTATAGTACAAAATCCTTTTGCAGAATTGTGCCATTGGATTTCAAAATCTACTTGGTTGGGCTCGTAGTATCACCCATTTTACAGATGGTGAAAGTGAAGCCCCAAGGAGGCTAAGGGGCTGCTCTCAGGTCATACAATGAGTGAGTAACTGACGGACATGGCCAAAATTTGAACCCGGATCTTTCAACACCTGTTTTAGTGAACTTGACACTATTCCATAGCTGGCCTCCCTTAATTCTAAGTGGTAAGTTCTTATTCAACTTCAAAACATATTTTGACATGTCATCTGTAAAGTTCTTTAAGAAATACAAATGTAAAACTAGGTCTCTGTGGATACTTACCTCTTGTGCAAATGACTCTGCCTTCTTTCGAAGGTCCTTCTCCAGTTCCAAGTTTACCTGCATTTCCTCATACTCTTCTACCGCTAGCATGGACACTTAGGAAGACAAGGAAAAGAAATGGACAAAGTGCCACACGGTCGGTCAGGAATACGGATGAAAAACAGTGTTGAAAAGATTCTTTGTACCGGCACACAAGCACCCTCAGCCATTGCTGGTTGAAATATAAATGGATCGAACCTTTTTGGAGGGCAGCTCAGCAATGTGAATCAAAAATCTAAAACCATTCATACCCTCTGACTCCACAATTCTGCTTTTAGGAATGTACCAATTCCCCCAAGAGAATAAATCATGAACACATCCAGCAATAAAGCTGGAGAACACTCTCAGCATTGCTGCTGAAAACAGTGAAATGATCCAGATGGTCTCACATGGCAGACCCAGGGAAGTACGGTATATACAAGAAACATGATTCTGCTGTCGAAATGACATTGTAGAAGCATATTTATGGAACCAAAAGATATATTTTTTAAATGACTTCATTTCTGTTTTTTACAAGCTGCATACAAAACACATTGCCGAGGTACTTCACAGAAGAGGAAACGTGTGAAAGGCCAGTGAATGTGCGGAAAGACACTCTTCTTCATTAGTAATCAGAGAAATGGAAAGTAAAAACACAGGCACCTTTTTAGACTCAGCAAAGAGGGAACTGGCAAAAATCAGGAAGTAGAGTTAACACCAAGTTTGGAGAGGATACAGAACAATGGAACAAACACACTGCTAACAGGAGCTGAAATCTACCTAAAAAGTAATCTGGCCTTATGTACTGATGTTGAAGATAAACTTTTACATTTGGCATGTTATCTTAGGGCACATGCACCAGGAGACGCATAATAAGAATTTTCATAACTGCAGGACTTGGAAGAGCAAAAAACTGGAAAAAACTCAAACAGCCACCGACACCATACTGGATCAGTGAATTCTGGGATAGACACTGAATGACATACTAACCAGCAGTGAAAGTCAACATACCAGAGCAAAGCCCTTTAACAGGGATAGACCTCACAAACAAAAAATTGCACAGGGACATATGCAAGGGTGATGGAATTAATATAAAGTTCAAAAACATACAAAATGAAACAACATGCTATTTAGAGATATATACATACTTGGTAGAACTAGAAATAAAAGCAATGATAAAAATCCAAGGGAGGGGATACAAGTGGAGATTGATATTCAGGAGCTTGTAAGGTATCAATGGGTAAAGAGGTATTTCTTTCGCTGATTTTTTTTAGCTTCCACAAATGTTATAAACACATTTAACAAACAATTTAATGTATATATATGGTTTTCTTAAGGTTGGAAGAATATACACGATGTTAATAGTGCTTATCTTTGGACTGTAAAGATTGAGATTTTTTTTTCCTTTTCCTATTTGAATCTATGTTCTCCACCAAAAAAGTATATTACCTGAACAAAAAGAAAATATATATATATTTTATATATATATATATATATATATATACAAGCTGCATACAAAACACATCGACGAGGCATTTCACAGAAAAGGAAACACGTGAAAGGTTATATATAGATGTTATTTTTAGGCGTCCTCCACGTTTACAAAGAGAAATAGCCTTAGATCCATTCAGGCCCAGACTCAGAGCTCTGAATTAAAGAATCAGGACAGAAATCTTTAAAGGGAAGGTCCTGTCAAATAGTAGGAACACAAAATCTTTGCTACTTTTTGACATTCTGTGGCCTGTTTTCTTAAATAATGATACAGACAGAACCAAGGGAGTGATGACGCCATCAGAAATTAGGCACAACATAGGTAGGTATCACACTGGTCTCTCCATCTGCTTCTACAGAAGCACTTTCAATCCTGAGCTGAGTCATATCAATAAAATCTTTAAAAAGGCACTCTTAATGGCTGCTTTCACACAATGTTCCGCCAGGACACTTCAGTCCTAACTGACTAAGGACTGGTTTGCTGTGTAATGACATAGAATTTCAAGCTCTGTACTCTGTAAATCTACTGCCTTCTCAGAGGAAAGACGAATAGTCTTACTCCAGTAAAGCAATATAAGTGGTGGTTTGTGATGTGAATTATAGGTCCCTGAGAGCCAAATGATTTTCAAACCTATTTAAAAAAGAAATTTCGTGGAGAAAACAAAGACGACTATGACTCTCTGAAGGCCCTGGGCAACATAACTGACTCTCTTTTCTAAGTCCAGAACACCATAATAAAAAGTGAGTTTTCACATGTCCTGGCCCTTTTGACTTGGATTCTGAAAGAAATTAGGTTGGTCCTCATCATGCATTTATTTATATGATCTCCCTCTTCCTAGAGAGAGGGTTCTCTGAAGGCAAGATCCACGTGATTAACCTTTGTAGAACCCTCTGTTTCTAGCACAGTACATCAAGACCATTTCTATCTTCTTAAATGTGGAAGGAGCTGAGAAATGTCACAATCTACCATATCTCCCACACTGAACCACAAGGTCCTTTATTTATTCAAAAATCTCAATTCGTCACCCAAAGGTGGAGAACTACCACCAATGACAACAGGGAAGGCTTGAAGATTTCCTGCACTCTGGCATCACTCCCTTGTCCTGAACCAGGGGACACAAAAACAGCCCCCATGGGACTTGATGCTGTGTTTTACAACAAGGATTCCATTTTCTCTAGAGGTAGCCTTTGGAGAAATTTCCTTCTCACCATGAGACCAGGTCTGCCTCTCGTGACCAAGAGGATCATTTTCATATGATTCATATAAATGATCGTGAATCTCTCATCACGCTGGCCGCTAGACAGCTCAGAGCCAGAACTTGACTACACACGGACAGGAATGCACAAGACCTGACAGCAAGCATGCAACCTTGTATAGCAGTATTTAATTTTACTTTTGCTTTGCCCCATTTTCTATATTCTCTTAATTTAAAATTTTTTCATATCATGTTGCATGTATCTGTGTAGATATCCTCTCTTCTGGATTAAAAATAACCTACCAAATACACAAATACGAGGGGAGAGGCAATATGACCTTTGTCCTAGGATATATGTAGTCAGAAAAGTGTTTTGGTTTGAAGTGGGTCAGAAGTTCCTCAAGTGAAAGCACTTTTAGAAGTCCCAAGACTCTAAGGTGAATGATAAAATAACTGGGAAGAGAGAGACTTGTGGTTAGAAATCAGGAAAACCAAGATAGGATATTTTTGCTTACAAGACTCTTTAGGCGCAGCTATAAAACAATACACAAAATGTATGCAAACCAAATAAATTACACATGTATCTGAGAAAAAAGACTGGAAACACCTACCTCTATTGCATTTTTCTAAGACTCTTCTCTGTTCAAGAACTTCTGAGTTTAAAAGATCTTTTTCTTGTTTAACTTTATTTACCTAAAAATGTGAGATTGTGAGAGAAGAAAACACACAACACTGTAAAACATGACATAAGGTGATGTGTGATACGCAAACTGCTGTTCAACATTCAACATGAAGTTATAATTTAAGCAGTAATTGGCTTTACTGTGTTGGGATTTTATTAAAGTTGTTCTTAAGGCCTCAAAGGTAGCTATTTAAGTTAGGATATACCTTTATAGAGAACTTCTTTACAAACTCCAAATAGCACTGGTCCCTACCCATGTAAATGATTGATATTTTTAAGGCAAAAATCCAACTAGAAAACACCCAGACAACAGACAAATCATATAGTCAGAGAACTTTGATGACATTTAAATTAAGGAAAAAAATATTTGAATTTTTTAAATAAAAAATACTTTAAACGTTGATGACTTCTGGCTTAAATAAAACACACATGAAAATCTTCCCAAAAAACTTACATTTCTGAGATAATTTTGACATCAATCAATTGGAAGAGACTATCATAGGACCATTTAAAAAAAGAATGCAGGGGTGCCTGGGTGGCTCAGTTGGTTAAGCGACTGCCTTCGGCTCAGGTCATGATCCTGGAGTCCCGGGATCGAGTCCCACATCGGGCTCCCTGCTCAGCAGGGAGTCTGCTTCTCCCTCTGACCCTCTTCCCTCTCATGCTCTCTCTCTACCATTCCCTCTCTCTCTCTCTCTCAATAAATAAAAAATTATAAAGAAAGAAAGAATGCAAAGTTACATATATCAAAGTGGATAAATCTCAAATGCACTATGCTGAATTTTAAAAAGCAGGTACAGGGGTGCCTGGCTGGCTCAGTCAGTGGACTATGATCTCAGGTTGTGAGTTCAAGCCCCATGTTGGGCACGGAGCCTACTTAAAATAAAAATTAAAAAAAAATAAATAAAAGCAGGTACATTTACATCATTTAAAAACACTCAAAATACTATGTATTGTAGCAAAAAATATAAATACATGCATTGGAATGATAAAAGCCAAATTCAGAATAATGGTTGTGCAGGAAAATGGGGCAGAGAGTGAGGGGAATGCAGTTAGGGACACACTGGGGTTTTCAGGACTATGTATTAAGCTAGGTAGTAGACATATGGGTGTTTTTTTTACTTTTCACATGTCTGAAATAGTCTAAAAGTAACTTCTGAAAGGGCTTCCAATAACACCTCTAAGTGGGAGGGGAACAGGATCGTCAGTAAATAATCATAATGGAGGAAGAGAGTGCATCAAAATGTGTTTGTCTCTCTACAACGGTTACAGTCAAGAAACAAACTAAGGGGCGCCAGGGTGGCTCAGTTGGTTAAGCGACTGCCTTCGGCTCAGGTCATGATCCTGGAGTCCCTGGATCAAGTCCCCCATCAGGCTCCCTGCTCGGCAGGGAGTCTGCTTCTCCCTCTGACCCTCCCCCCTCTCATGTGCTCTCTCTCATTCTCTCTCTCTCAAAATAAATAAAAAAATAATTAAAAAAAAAAAAAAAAAAAAAGAAAAGAAACAAACTAAGATAATGGTCCTGGAAAAGGACTCTGAATCCATCGGCATGCCAGAGAGCCTGTGAACTGGATGCTTTTAGGATAAGCTCTATTTTTGGTTTCGGTTTGAATTAGTAACTGGTATTCACTCTCCAACAGGAATGTCACTTCCAAAATAGCATCATCCTTCTTCCCATTCATCAGTATGTTCTGCCACGGTAAGTAAATGTGAACAAGGCTGTAATTGGTGGACACCATACGTAAATGTGAGCAAGGCTGTAATTGGTGAACACCATCTCCCAACCTTTTTCGCATTCTGGCCCTTATGAAAACTGTAAGATAGGTATGCAAACTAGCTGGGTAAGGCTGCCCACTGAAGGGACCAACGCCTCGATTCCTCAGCATTACTCGTAAGCCACCTGAGGGATGGGTCTAGAAGCTTGAGCTGTAGAATGTGGGAACCACTGACACAAGTTAAATCACGATTGCAAAGGCAGTTCCTCCAAGTGTCATGCACAGAAAGGCAATTATGTGCTTCTGTTCTTAAAGACCATTCAAAAGGAAAAATAAAAAGATTCTCGAAACACCCACTTGAACCCATTCTGCCATCTATCACATACACTTATGTTGGAAGTATACAAGAGGACAGCCATTCCCAACCAAGCCAAACTGTCTGATAGAGAAGCCAAATACTTCTTCACCAGCAACAATAAAGCAGATGACTTAAACTGCAGATATCATTCTTACAAATCTGCCTCCCATAGTGAAATATGGGAGACAACAGGGACACTTCATTGCTATTTTGGTGCTTTACTTAGTGAGCTAGGTATTGAGTATACAAATGTTCACGATCTTACGTTCTACACCTTTTTGTATATTTGAAACAGAGGGTAGAAGAGAAGATAAAAATTGGTACATGGTTCTCACGCCTGAAATCAACTTCCAACAGCAAGTTTTTAATGTAGCCAGTCTCCAAACACCCTGAAAACACCAGAAGTCTTGCCTTTCAGGCCTAAGATACATACTTCTTCAATTACTTCTACAAGTTTGCTCTTGAGATTTTCCAATTCAATCGCTAATATCTTCTTCTCCTCCTGAACAGATACAATTTGATCTCGAAGTTCTGCATTTTTAAAGAAAAAATAAGGGGAGGGAAACAATATAAACAAACATTTCTTTAATCTAAATTCAATTAGCGAACTTATAGCACATCATCAGTTTCAGATGTAGTAACTTTTTTAAACTTATTTTTTTAAAAGAAGAAATCAATCTTGTCAAAAGAACTGAAAAATGCCAGTCCATGTGTAGCTTACAGTCAAGATTATTTAACAGCTAAAATGAAAATAAAGAAGCAGAGAATGATGGAAATCTCACTTCTGTGCCCCTGTATACACAGTTATTAATAATTTTATATCATGCAATCTCACTGTGTTATTGAATGTACCAGATCATGTTTTCTTTGCATGCTATCAAACCCATATTTTAGAAAACTATCTGGGATTTTAGAAGTAAACTTTTTTAAGATTTCAGCAAAACAAATTAAGGCATAGTACCAATTTCCTTTTTCTTTTAAAATGGCCATGGGCTCTTGTCACAATAAAATATAACAAACAAATGGGGCAGTTGATAATTTGCAGATTTTGCTTTGCAGAAAAAAATCCTGACCTGCTGCCAACTTATAGCCCTCAAACATTATTTGAACGGACTCAAAATATAACCTATTTGAAAAAGGTTAATTCTAGTAATTTTGTCTACTGAGTTGTTGTTTTGTTTCTTAATTTATTTCGTATTTCTTATTATCGGAATTTAATGAAAACTGTATTACCAAAATGAAAATATTAGCAACCATTAAGTGCAAAAGCTTCTGGTGATAGATGAAAGTTACTTCCACCACTCAAACAGTAAAAAAAATATATACACAGAGGGGCGACTGGGTGGCTCAGTCGGTGGACTGTCCAACTTTTGATTTCGCCTGGAGATCAGGTAATGATCTCAGGGTCCTGGGATTGTACCAAGTCAGGTTCAACACACAGCTAGGAGTCTGCTTGAGGATTCTCCCTCTCCCTCACCCTCTGCCTCTGCTCACTCTCTCTCCATCTCTCTCTCTTAAATAAATAAATCTTTTTAAAAATATATATACACAGATTAGCACAGAGTCCTAAAATTGATAACCAAGGTCTCCAGTTTTGCTACTCAGGTTTTAATTGCATTTTTTTTTAAAGATTTTATTTAATTATTTGACACAGAGGGAGAGAGCGAGCGAGCACAAGCAGGGTGAGCGGCAGGCAGAAGGAGAGGGAGAAGCAGGCTCCCTGCCAAGCAAGGAGCCCGATGCAGGGCTCGATCCCAGGACCCTGGGATCATGACCTGAGCTGAAGGCAGACGCTTAACCGACTGAGCCACCCAGGCACCCTAGGTTTTAACTGCTTTTAATTAAAAACCTTCTCTGGAGTTATTTATAAATTGAATCAAGCTTTTACAGGAACCCGGCCTGGAAGAGTTCTCAGATGCTTATTTCAAAATCTCTTTCTCCACTGGTTGGCTAATCCTGAAAGAGGAACGAGAGACAATACCATCTGAGACCTAAGAGGAGGGGAGAATCATGAACAAAAGAAAATCCTGTAAACTTCTTCTCCCTCCCCACCGACACAAATATTATTTTGTCTTAGGTCAAGGGGGTGGAGAGTCAGTTAACGATGGCTTTCTTTATACTTCCTTCCCTCTCCTTCCAACTGCAGTTCTATCCAAACCAACAGGCTAGCGAGTGTTGTTTCTGGCCTGTGCCTAATGCTAAAATGCCCTAAAAGTTATTGAACCCCAGACTGCTTTCTTCCATCTGTAACATAAACAATGTGTACATATAATCACGTGTATATATAATCATGAATAAAATTAAAGTATATTTAATAGAGGTACCGTGCGATATTCCACTTCCCACTGACCCACACAGTGAGGTCTAACAGCGTTGAAGTTGAACACTGCATATTGCTTACAGCTCACTGCCTGATTCAGATGAGAAGTCCTTTGAGGGCACAGACTTAAGCAATCTGGGGAGGAATCCTCCCCAAAGATTCCAAAAAAGAACCAGACAAATGAGAGGCATTGGCTAAATATATTTTTATATGTTCTTTCTTTTGCTTAACAAAAATATCTCAATGCATAGTCCATATTTTTAAGAATTTTTACACACTGGTTGTTTCCATCAAGACAATGCTTTCAAAAGTGCCTAATCCCAAATGAGAAAGTAATTCATAATGCACCAAAGTTATGTCCTATCGTGATTCTCAACCAGGCTACTCCCTGGGACATTTAAATCCGAAATTTTTGGAAGCAGGACCCAAGTTCTAAAGTTTTCAGGTCATTCCAATGGGCAACCAGGCCTGAGAAACATTATCCAAAATATGCTCAGTGACGAAGCCAAGAGTCCCACCTTTGATCTGCTTCTGACACTGTACAGACACACAGGTCTCTGGGGTGCCTTCTGGGTCTGTGCTAACATCTTCGTCATCGATGTTGATCTCCTCGGTGATTACATCTGGTCCCAGCTTGGCCATGTACAACATGCTGATTCTTTTCAATGTTTTATTTTCTTTATTTAGCTAAGGCAAAATATAAAAACAGTTATTTTAACAGCAGTCAAATGAGTGTCTTGGATTTTTAAACAATAGACAGATTAAGTGTACTTCTGTCTTACATATTCATCAACACCCACAGCATGAACTAACAATTAGAAGATTCATGAAGTAAGGTTTTATTTACACTTTTTAGCATTAAACTTATTAAAGTAAGACCTGATGCCTGGATTACAGCCAGCAGCATGGGAAAATGCTAGTTATAACTGATAACATAAGAAGAATTAAGATAAGACACCAGTATAGATTAAATCAAATTTCAACTTATTCCATCCCTAATAGTCTTAATTAAGGCATTTTAAGAAAATGTTTTCTTTGCTGCTGTGCACACCCTTTAAATGTTTGCTAGCCCAGCCCTCCCTCTTCTCTGAACACCTGCTACTCTTCTTCATTGTTCCACAGGATTCCTGTGGAAACAACCATGTTCCCCCAAAGCATACCCCATCCCTCTGACTGCAGCTAATCAGTCCAGGGATCAGGCATATGAGCCCAAGCTTAGCCAGTCAAATCCCTTCTCTAGAAATTTGGAGGCTGAACAGAGAGATGAGGTTCCTTCCATGTGTCTAGATGTACAGAAGCTGTTGGCAACCACAATCCACTAGTGAATTGAGGAACAGAGGAAGGTAGTCTGTAGCAGAGCCCAAAATGGAGCTGACGTGTAGAGACAGGCAGAGAAAAATAATGGAGATGGATTTCCCAAAGGACTCTGGTCCATTCTCAAAATGCTCCTAGCCTATGGATTCCATGGAATTCTCCAATATCCCTTACTAACAAATTCCTACTTTTTTTTTCTTTTGACAGTGGAAGAAAGTACAAGATATGTTTCTGTTCTCTCTATAAAAAGAGTTCCAGTTCATAGCAAAGAAAAGAAATACTAATACATTAATGTATTTGTTATTCCCTTTGCAGAAGTGAATTGTTCTTTAGTTTCAGTTACTCAACTGTCATTGCCTTCTTTGGTTCACGTGTTTATGTGCCTATCAATATTAGTACAAAGCACACACAAAGACTAAACTTGGTCCAAAGCCCATAGGAGGAAAAGTTCTTATGTTTTCTCTTCTCAAGACTAAAAAATAAAAGGTCTCCTCTGAACACATGCACATACAGAAATGCAACCTCTGGGGTGCCGGAGTGGCTCAGTCGGTTAAGCATCTGCCTTCGGCTCAGGTCATGATCCCGGGGTCCTGGGATCGAGCCCCGCATTGGGCTCCCTGCTCCGCGGGAAGCCTGCTTCTCCCTCTCCCTCTGCCTGCCACTCTGCCTACTTATGCTCTCTCTCTCAAATAAATAAAATCTTAAAAAAAAAAAAAAGCAACTTTTTTTCTTTTACTAAGGGCCAATGGCCAGCAAGGCAAGTTCTGAATTAAATAACTGACACTGGAAATAAATAGAAACAGAAACCTAATTCACTGGAAAGCTACCTACCTTCTCTACTATAAACCTTACATCAGAGTAAGACATGCTGGTAACTTGTCCGACTTTGGTCCTTCATTTGTGATCATAATTAGGACCCTACAGGGTTTCCCTCAGGGAAAAGCCCAGGCCATTTCAAACTGGGAGATCTGATTCTCACCCCAGTAACACTGACTCTAACTATATCTCAAGTAGCCTGATCTGGAGCACAAGTGGTTTCCCTGACCTCTCTGGGGAATCAGAAAGAATCTACTAGAAATGGCTATGAACCCTTCCTCAGATTCCCCCTGGGAAGCCTCGTAAGCTCTACTCAGGGAATCCAACACAGCCCCTTTCTTCCCTGTCCCCAGCGCACAGTTCCAGCTTCTAGCTCCCCACAGTACATTAGAGGATCAGGGATGAGAGATAAACCCATGATCTCCAAGCCCCTCTCCCTTAAGACGAAACATTCATGTAAAGCCTGTTGTGGGTTCTTGACACCATGGATGCTACAGTGGGGCACTAGAGGCTCAAGGATTCTGGCTGGTAAGATGCCACATCTTTTCTGAATGGCAGGAGAAAACCACAACTGAAGGAAAAAGTGAAAACACTCAAGCCTTCATTTGTAATTCTGCTTCCTAATACTTAAACTAATGGTTTCTAGCTTAGCACATAGAATCTGTAGAGAGCTTTTAAAAAATCCCAGTGCACAGGCTCTCACCAGATCCAAATCTCTGGCAGTGGAACCCAGCAGAGTACTCTCTCTGAGGTCCCAGGTGATTCTAATGCACATCAATATGAAGAATCTTTGATATAGAGAAAGGCAATGTTTCTGTATCGGTTTCTATAAAATCAGAGTTAAGAATCCTGCTCTAGGGTGCCTGGGTGGCTCAGTTGGTTAAGCAACTGCCTTCGGCTCAGGTCATGATCCCGGAGTCCCGGGATCGAGTCCCACATCGGGCTCCCTGCTCAGCAGGGAGTCTGCTTCTCCCTCTGACCCTCTTCCCTCTCATGCTCTCTATCTCTCATTCTCTCTCTCTCAAATAAATAAATAAAATCTTTAAAAAAAAAAAAAAGAATCCTGCTCTATAATCCAACGTCTCTGCCTCTAGAATAACCTCATCTTTCAGAGTGGTAGCCTCTTCATCAGCAAACTAAGGATAAAAATAGCCTCTGCCTGGGTGGCTCAGTTGGTTAAGCAACTGCCTTCAGCTCAGGTCATGATCCTGGAGTCCCGGGATCGAGTCCCACGTCAGGCTCCCGGCTCAGCAGGGAATCTGCTTCTCCCTCTGACCTTCTTCCCTCTCATGCTCTCTCTCTACCATTCTCTCTCTCTCTCTCAATAAATAAATAAAAATCTTTAAAAAAAAAAAGCCTCTGCCCCATAACGTGAGGATTGAGTGAGATATTACACAGAAAGTATTCAATACAGTGACGGACACGCAGGAAAAATTCAGTGTCTGCTCCTAATAGTAACAAAAGAGGTTCAGGTTGTGCATTTGGGAATACTTTATCAGCTAGTTTTCTTCCATCAAGATATACATCCATGCAACTTTTTCTTCCTCCAGGATATTCACAAAAGCACAAAAATACTAATTTTTGCCATCTGGTGCTTAATAGGCTTATCCCTGGGCCACTGTCACAATAATACTTAATAACTTGTTCATTAACAGTTCTACCCTCAAAAGAGTTTAAATGCCTCTTTCTATCAAGCCAGGCACCAAAATCCACCAGCACTATCTGGCTATAATACAACTATTCTCATTAACAAAGTTACTAACTCAAGAAAAAAGCTACACATGGGGCGCCTGCCAGGAGGTAGGTAGAGCATGCGACTCTTGATCTCAGGGTCATGAGTTCAAGCCCCACATTGGGTGAGGAGCCTACTCTTAAAGAAAAAAAAAAGCCACACAGCAATTTCTCTGAAACGTCATTCTCACATTTTGAAGCAAGAAACATAAGATTTATGTACATAAAGATCTCATAACCATACTAACTGGATATTTTTGAAAACTCTGAATTCACAAATTTTGGCTAAGCAATTTCATTGAAGTTATTATTCATCAAGTTATATATGTTAATGGCATGCTAATTGTTTTTTGGAACCATTCTAAGTCACAAAGCAAAAATAAATCTTTTATAACCCTACAGTAACAGAATCTTCTACTACATTCAAATTTAAATAGTTTTTATATTGGGTGCAGCTTAATGAATATTTAAAGATACAAAATAAGCAAGTTTAAGCAGATCTGAACCATACGGTTTAAATAATTGGTCTACATTTATCAGTTTAACCTACACATTTTAGCAAAGTAGCCACCCTTGCTCTTAAGAAAATTATACAAATTGCATCTTAAGAATTAAACATTCCATTTGTCATTCATTTGAGAGCAAAGATTTAGAAAAATAAGAATAAATTTATAGAAACTTTGCTGCTTTAAAAATGGAGTCTACTTTCGAAAATGACAATTGGGATACCTAAATCAGGATGTGCTACTTATTGATCATGCATATAATGGAGCTTCCAAACTTTGCATTCAAAGCTGTAGTATCTTCCAAATCCAATGAGCACAACTATAGGCTTTCTGACCTGTTTTTATTCCAAGTCCCACGAGGTCACATTGTATCCTCAAAAACCCACCACACAGTCATTTTCGGAAGATTTCATGAATAGAAGACAAACCGTGTAAGTGAACGATCCTACTGTCAGACTAAATTATAAAACTGACCTTTGAGATTAGTAACACAGTGGTTCATAACCAGGGATGAAGACAACAGTCCCCTGGCAGCTTTCTCAGCACACAGCTGGCCTGGGCCACACTCCCAGCGTCAGTGGGTCTAGGATATTCTTAAGAAATCAATGCTGGTCCACCCTGACACTTAGGACAAGGCAACTGTAGCTCAGAGAGGTGCATTCTCTTGCTCCAAGTCACCTGTTAGCTAAAAAAAGGAAGGGGCGGGGATCAAATCTTTTTTTTAAAGGGGACTGTACAGACCCATGAGTGGAGTGCGTCATGAAAAAAGGAAAAGTCTGTTCCATTCTCCCTGCCGTCCTAACACTAGTCCATCCTGACATGTGAGATGAGACTATAGCAGTCCGGAGACCAGAACTAATAACTTCCCCAAAGTCACATATAACCAAAATGACATGACTGGGAATAAAACCTGTATATACTGCCTCCCAAACTGTTGCTTTCCATTAACTCTGACAGTCCTGCAAGGTAGTCCGTGTTCTCATTTTGCATGTACTATTGGCAACAGAGATACTTATCGATAGCAAGAGAAAATACAAGGACTGGACTTAGCCACTGCAAGATTCAGAGCAGCTAGTATGCTCCACAGATATTTTTTTCTACCTGTTGCAAAAGAAAGAATAAAGGATACAAAAAGAGAATTCACCCAGTTCTGTGAATCAGTGAACACTTAATGAAGGGTAGCGCAGAAGAAATGATGGGAAAGCACCCACGCAATCACTGTTTTTAAAGCAATGGTCTGTATTGCTGTGTATTCTTCAAATGAATAACAGAAGAGGAGTTGCATGCACATGTTTATATTCTTAGGTTCTGACTGCATTATCTTATGAATTCTAATGTAGTGTCATTACACAAACAATTAAGCAAATACCTCTAGCAAGCACACTGCTAATGCATCCAAATTAAATAGAGAGAGATACAGGCAGATTGGCTGATTGATTTGCAGACTTTCAGTCACATCCAAAGACATACTTTGGAGGGAGGCGATGGGGAAGAGAGAAAGACACACAACCGGCATTACTAATGATATTTGGTTAAAAATTGCTGTAATCCATTTTCTGATGAAGTGGTTCAGATGCGTTTTACCCAACCCAAAATACGTAAGACAGAGATAAAAACATTCTTTAATAATAATAATGTACTTCTGATGAGACAGAATATAGAAAATTACACTCTTGGTAAATTCATCAGCGAGAAGCAATCAGTGAAGCACTGGAGGTCACCTTCAGCATGCCCTCACTCTGCTTTCACAAATAATCACCTGAAATGTACGGCTGGAGGCTGACTTTTTCATCTAAATCAAACATGAAACACTCACTGCACCCCTTTATGTCACACCAGGTTCGTTTTAAGCTGTTCACCCAAGGCATAGACACTTAGAAAGTCCAGCTGGACGAACGACTCTGGGGCCATTTTCCAGAGGCAAAAGCACCAATGCTGAAATGCACACATACAAATGCCCCTTTTACAATGGAAAGAACCTAGGCATTAAGATATTTACATAATCCTATTCTAGAACTCTGAGAATTTGCAACACTTTAGACACTTTCCCTCCTCAGCAGAGCAGAGGCAATGGATTAGAAAAGCAAAAGCGGATAGGAGACCACTCTTCAGAAAAGCAAGTTGAAATTTTTTTAAAAAGCGCAGGTAGATTTCCCTTATTTGAAGAGTCTCACCTTTGTCGCCAGAGCTTCGGCACTCTCTCGACAAGTCTTCTCTATTTCAAGATGGTTCTGCATAAAATTGACTTCCTCTATAACCATGTGAGAAACTAGGAATGAGGGGAAAAAAGTCTCAGCATTCAGAGATTAGTCAGCGATTCCAGAAGCCCACACATTCTGTCCCATGACTCAGAATACTTCACTTCTTTAACTCGCCAGACCTTTAGCTAGCATGGAGGATAAAAAAAAAAGTCTTGGAAGATGCTGCCCTGATTAAATCTTAGCCAATATTTGGACGTGGAGGGGGGAAAAAAGAACGCAACAAAGAGCCTTCACTGCTAGAGCACACATTTTTAAGAAAGCTAGTTAGGATGTTTTTAAGTGTCTTTTCTATGCAGCTGTACACGGAGACATAGACACGTCCACTAACTTAGACGAAAGTATCTCTCCTAAATAAAAAGTGGCAAACATGATTTCCTTTTCTTAGCGGGACAGAACGCAGGGATCTAATAAGGAAAATTAGCGAGTGAGAAATTTTTAAAATTAAATCTCCACTCGATCTCCTTAACCGGAATAACAATGTGGCAGTTTAGCTCAGGTCAGTAAGCAACAGCCCTCTTTATGAGTGATAAAGTAGTTACTGTGATTTAATAAACTCCAGGGCAGAAAAGTATAGCAACGAGAGTTATGGACTCTATGTGACAATGAAAGCGGATGCTTCTTGCATCACAGACTGTCAGGATGATTGGAAGAAAAATACAATTTTACTGGACACTTTACCAATGCTTGAAAAATAGTAATTTTCAGGTTCTTTTAGTAGCTGGTTTATACAAACAGATTCAGAGGTACAAAGTAATTTAGAACCTGATTATACTTCGAAGATCAAGGAAGAGCAAAGTGCCAATTCCTTTCACCCACATTTCTAGTTAAAGGAAAATGCTCAGAATCTTAAACTTCACTGTAGACATGTATGCTTATTGACATTTGTTTGGCTTAAAAAAAAAAAATGAAGTACACCCAAGTGTGAAACCCAGCAAAGTTAAGCAAAAAGCACTGGGCTCACGTAACACAAAGAGAGATTACTTTTGCTTCATTTAAGCTTAATTAACCTGCAATTATGATTAAACTCAGGGGAAAAAAATTTCTCTCCAAATTAAACACAAAAATGTATTACTTCCTAAGTCTGTCCAAAGTTCTTATTATGTTAATATTCAAATTCATAAAGCAGCACTCAATGGCCAGAAACATCTCTAACCTTGACATTTTTTCAGGGGTAATAATAATCTGCAGCAAATGCAGGCCAACCAAAAACCACTTAACTAATTAGTAGTTGCAGTCACCGAGAAAAACATGAATCAACACTGTTATTACAAGTGGCACATTTGAGTGGCATCTAATTATGACTTGATGAGCACGATACTTGCATTATCAACATTACTACTGCATCCCATCAGGGCCTAAAAGCTGCTGATGGCATTGACTTCAAGAAACTCCCACTCAATGGTACAGCAGCACCCAACAATCGGCTTGGCAGGGGCCCCCCTCACTAAATGACACGTTAAGCGTAATTACTGGTAGACATGGTAAATAAACAGGATTGGAAGTGAAAATTGTACCAAGTGCATAAGACACAATCTGACACATTGGAAGTGGCAGCCTTAATTGAGAGTTTCTTTGACTGCTCAAGATCATTTCAACTGCATTTCTCCGAGGACAGTGATTATAACTGTGGAGACAGACGGCATAATGGTATCAGCGGCGCTGACAGAGCTGTGAATTAAATTGTATCTGCTGTTGTGCGAGCCTTGATGAGAGGTACAGATGCCTTAGTGGTCTTATCATTATAACACAATGGTCATGTTGTCATCAACCTTTCTGGCTCCAATTGAAAAGAAATGATTGTGTGTGGAGGCTCTGCCCCCCCCTTCCACACCACCCCCCTCTCCTCTTCTATCTCTTGTTCTGAATAGAACCAATTTTCAGAGAGCTATGAAATCACGCAATAGGTCCTAAAATGCAGCTGCTTGGCATACAAACGGGTCCCCATTAAACTGGAATCACACACAATATGTGTTTATGCCAGAAGAACAAATAGAAGCTGAACACAGGCCAAGTTTATTCACACATACAAAGCCCATGTAGCTCTTCATCAATATAATTGCCTTTTATATTGTAGTTTAAATAATAGGCTCTATTATTTCCTTAAAATCCTAATATTCTTGGCATTTTATCACTATGTTTACAATGTAGGTTCTTCAAAAATGTGAAGGAAAGAGAAAAGAAACCTATACAATTTTTACAACATCAAATATTACTTTGAATTTTTAGCCTTAACTACTTGACTTCTTCTGCCACAATCTGGTATTTCCACCATCATAACAAAAACATAAACACTCTGCATGTTTCATAGGAATTTGACTTTTTATTCAGTAACATTCTTGCTCATGGAAGAGTAAGGAAAAATCATTCCACATAGCAAGGTTTAGGCCCAGCAAAAAGAAACACACACACACACACACACACACACACACTTATTTTCTGAACATTTTGTAAAAAGCTGCCCTGTAATTTAACTTGATAAAACTTACATAGGCAGCACTAGCCCACATTTTTCTCCAATTCTCATACAGCAGGCCCCATCTAATACGTTTTTTTTTAATCTCTTCCTCTAAGAGGGAACAGTAGAAATCAAAAGTTGTGCTTTGATTTCTAGTTTAAAAAAATTATCTCAATGCTAAATAGGGAGCAAGGAAACCTATCGACTTTCTAGATTTAAAAGAAAAGAACATGTTTCAGAGGGCATTTATATCTTTAAAAAGCACGACCCCATTGCTAAAACCACAAGTCAGGTTACATGACACAAAACAGAAATTTTTGTAACATATAATTTTATTTGCACCTTTCAAAGGATGAAAGTTTTTTTAAAAAACCTTTAATTTGCTCATTTAGTTTTTGGTCCTATGGTACTAAATTCAGGCTTATCTCATAATATCCACAGACCGTGAGTGATAACTACACCTAAAATATCTGTAATTTGGATGACATGGAGGCTTAAAACAGAAGAAAGATGAATCCTGGTCTTTTAGAAACACATACTGAAATATTTATATTCATTTATGATGAAATTATCATTAAATGATATGATGACTGGAATTCATTTCCAAATAATCTGAGGTCAGCGAGAATGGATGTATGGACAGAGATGAAAGTGGACTGGCCAGGAGCTGGTAACTGTTGAAGCTGAATGATGGATACATGGGAGTTCATTGCATTATTTTCTCTTTTGTATAATAAGCTTGATATTTTCCATAAGAGTTGTTTTTAATGACTCTGACAACTCAGAAGCAGAACCTAAAAGTACACCAATGATTGCTTCCACCAGTCTAGTTGAATCAGCAAAATTTTTTTATCCTCTTCATGACCCCAAAACACTCTAACATACTTGCCATCATGGAATGGAGGGCAACTGGGTTTTTCTTTTTTACTTGTTTTTGTCTTTTATTAACTACAAGCATTACAGCAGCAATTTTGCTTTACTCACATCTGACTCTCTTGCACCTGGCACACTGCTAGGTATAAACCAGGCAGTCACGTCTGTGTTTGCTTGAATGCCTGGAAAAATCTATCGGGCCTAGATCTGTCTGTGGACACCCCTTTACAAGAATGTTCTCTCTAGAACAGAACTACTTAGGACACAACCACCATCACCCACTATTGGGCCAACTGTGTGTTCAGCCTGTGCTAAACCCTTTCCACGTGCTCTGTGGTGAGTCCTCACGACAGGCTTAGGAGGTAGGTATCATCACCGCAATTTTCTATTTGAGAACATCGAAGCCCAGAAAAGTCAAGTAGCATATATCCCAAAATACAGTTCTAACTGGTAAAGCCCTGCTAAACTAATTTCTAGGCCATTCCAATTTTCTAGGCTTCTTTCTAACTTGTATTCAAATGTGACACCACCCATGGGACTGCCCTGAGCAAAACTCCTCTCCATCCAGCCAACCCTCAGCAACGCCTAGATGCAAGATGTCTCTGCAGCATACATGGTGAACACGCTGTACGTTCTCCTGCAACGTCAGATCCCTTGAGAGGTCTTCACACAGTGTGGAAAGAGCGACGCGCTGGCAGGTGTGTGGGAAAACAGGTATGTCCTAACACACAGCAAAGGCTCTCATGTTCTGGCTGAAGGACATGAGAGGCCATTAGTTACTTCTCACACATGAATCTGTCTCCCTAGGGAACGTGGCTTTGCTCTGCAGTGGTGCTCTTTGTGCAGGAAGACAGGAGAAGAGGCTCAGGAAGAGCTGGGGGAGGGCGGAAAATGGCAGGGAGATACGGACGAAACCAGCTAAGAAGAGCATGGTCACCTAGGTGAGTAGAGCCCGCCGACCTGAGGGAGCTCTTCCTGAGGCTCTTCCCTCACTGAGATCTGGGCCTAGTCGGTCAACATGACGGTCAGGCAGCATTCAACTTAGCGCCCGAAGATACTTTCCCCCAGGGCTGTCCAAGCATCAAGACCAGGGTCTGAAAACTCACTCGTGAATGGACTCGCGGACTCTTCACGCTGAAGGGCACTCAGGCTCGGGATGGGACAGTAAATGAGATGGTGGTAGCAGCAGCTAACATTTATCGAGCACTTAAACTATAATGCCAGGCACTGTGTTTAGCACTTTTTACATAAATTATCTCATTTATTCCTTGAACAGCCTATGAGGCAGGGTCATTTATCCCAATTTGACTAATGCAGAAATTGCTCAGGACTACGTGGGTGCACATCAAATGGTGCTTTTTACCGGTGGTAACCGCTGCAATCCCTTCCAAATTGGAAATTCTGCTCTCTGTTCAAAAGTCATCAACATTTACCCCAGACACAATGTTTTAACAAATATTTCGAGTTTTCGTCATCCCCATTTTCTGTTCTTTTGAGACGGAGTCAAGAGTCAGCATTCTGTTCCCCTAAGTTAATACATTAACTTTAAATTAATTAAGCTGACTTAGAAAAGTCAAAAATTCAATGCATACAACAATAAGGATTGTTGTACTAACCTTTCAATTGATTCTTTCACAGGCTTTGAGTTGCTCATAAGGAAAAATGTGAATTTTTATAAAACTATCAAAGATATTTAGAGGAAGAGACAAAGGGAAAAAGGAAGTGGGAGAAGAAAGCAGTTTACATGTTACTCTAAAGGTAGGCTGATTTGGGGAGACGCTCCTTCCATTTCTGCAGAACGCAAGAGGCAACATGCCTACTACCTGCCCAACCAAAGCATTTTATAAGTCCGACCCTAAGAACTTGAACTATTCCTACTACACACAGCATGCCAATCCACTATGAATAATTAATTTGAGAACATGAATTGGTAACAATGTCGATGGTATAACTCACTGTGACCCAGTGTCAGCAAAAGTGTAAGAACATCAAATTAATCCTGCATTAGAGAAGAAGAAAGTCCTACGCAATTGCAATTCATACATTCACAAATAAAAGATATTTCTGTCATAGCATATTGGCCTCCAAAGAAAAGTAACATCAACAATATTCCCCTGAGGTTTTGTTACAGCCAGACACTTGAAATAAACTGGCTATTGAAATGAACTATAATGTTCCATTTTCATGGCTGTTTAACCTTCAACAAGAATAAAATGTTCTGTTGTGTAGTTACCAAGTCAACACTTTACGATATAATCAAACAGCCTGATACAGCATCTGCAGAAAGATGGAGAAAGACCCTGCTTCCAAGGGGGAGGGCCATCTTTTCCTGCTAAGGTCTGGTCCTTTTCCCATGACCTATTTCCTTCTGATCCTTCTGAGTGTGATCAGATACATTCTGTCTCAGGGGATAAGGTAATGACAGATTTGCATGACACACAAAAATACCACAGCAAAAATTTAGAAGATTATTACAGCTTTTGTGGGAATACAACATTCCTTGGTGAGAGGGCCATCTCAAACACTCAGACTCTTAAGAATATGTAAGTTGTTAACCAGAATTCCTTTTCTATGAATTAATGTAAGAAACAAATCAGACCACTGTAAAGATGTGTAAGAACACTTGACATGGCATTACTTAGAATATCTAAAACTCAGAAATAATCCATCTATCACTGAATGTTTAAATAAATTAGGGTATTGTCGTGTAATAGGATACAGGAAAAAATATACATCCCTACAAACATGCAAAAATGACCATAATATAACACTCACTGAAAAAAGCAGGCTGCAAAACCGAATGCAAAGCATGACTTTATTTTCTGTAGACATAAATATTGCCCACAGATAAAAGACCAAGAAAGAAAGACTATAAAATGCTAACATTGCCTTTTCTCAAAGACTCAAGACAACAAGCAATTTTTGTTCTCCTTTAACTGTCCTGCATAGTAAAATTTTTTTATAACAAGTGCAAACTGTCTTTTATAATAACATACTCATGAAATAATAATGGTCATTCCATTTGTTTGAAAATCACAGTAATGTCAGGACATTTTTTGGGGGGCAAATGGGAAGACAATTCTTGCTTTCTTGGATGCCCAATGCAGCAGCAATTAAACATAGGGGACGTGTCTACCCACATAATTCCCAAACACAGTTATGTGTGTTATAATAATTCCAACGAAATGCTTACATACTTTTCTGAAATTCCTCCAGTTTTTTAACAGCTTCATCTCGTTCTTGCCTAATTTTGTCACACTGAAAGGAGAAAACACAGAAATGTTAAATTTGTGTCACAAGTTTGGGAAGGCAAGAAAGAGCAAACGTATAAACAGTAACAGTTTTATGAAAAGAAAACAAAAATTAAAAACCTTTAAAAAGCATTAACGGTCACATGGTACTTACACTACTCAACCAGCATGGTCTTTGTACCATCTGTATCTGGCCACTTGCCTTGGACCTTCCAAGATAATGAGTCATCTTAGTGCTCATTATCTCCTCAGGAACAGACCAATTTAACATCCTTGAGTTCAAATTACTCATTCTTTTAAGAGAATATACGTGCCGATTTTTAAGTAGGTATTTTGCTAATACGGTGAACACCCCACGCATCTGCAGGTCAGATTCCCTGAAACTGGGTAGCGACGAACTCTCCAGAACTATCCAGAACACTGGTGCACAGCCGGAAGTGGCACCTACTTGAAGACAAACGGCTGCCGTGCGCCCCCTTGAAATCTTCAGTTAAGGAAAAATATCCTCATATCCTTAAAATTCCAAATAGAAGGTAGCAAATTAAAATAAGAAAACATAAAATATTCCAAATAAGCATATATCATTTACATAAACTAATTTTTAGTTTTTAAAAGGTGGGAGGACTCACTGAAAACACGAAGAGGAGGTAAGACCATAAAAGCCAAAAATAACTATTAAAGCATGAGGACCTTTCAGGGTATCTAGTATAGAAACAAGGATCCAATATTTTAACAGGCCCTCAAAGTATTACTGAATTTTATAAACACCTTATGTTCATTATGAGGACTGATTCAACTTATTGTGAATTTCACAAAACAGGTTAAGTATAACACATTTTAGAAAGATTTTCATCAAAAAGGTCTAAAACTTTAAAAAGTGATTTTTAACTATTAAGAGCAATAATTAAAAACTGAATTTTCTGGGAATACTATAATACTGTAACAAGAGGGTCATGTGAGCAAAACACAACTTTTTTTTTTTTTTTAAAGATTTTATTTATTTGAGAGAAAGAGTGAGCAAGCGAGAAAGCATGAGCGGGGGCAGAGGGAGAAGCAGGCTCCCTGAAGAGCAAGGAACCCGACATGGGGCTCAATCCTGGGATTCCAGGATCATGACCTGAGCAAAAGGCAGATGCTTAACCAACTGAGCCACCCAGGAGCCTCAGTAAAACAAAACCTTAAATTATATTTTAATCCTACTGTGCCAGATAAATATATTGGGATTTCATGCTTTTGGATATTTATTTCAAATTTCAATGGCTAAAAAATTATGATACCACTGATAATTTGGAAAACCCAAATTAAGACAGTGAGATAGTCTCATCTAATAGACTGGCAAAAACTGAAAAAGTTTGCTATCAGGAGTTGAAAACTGTCATATACTGCTGGTGGGAACGTCAAAAGACATAACTAGTTTGGAAATAAACTATCAAAATTGAAAATGCATACGCCCTATGACTCAGCAATACCACTTCTACTTTTTATTTTTGAATTTTTATTTTTAAGTAATCTCTATACCCAGCGTGGGGCTCAAACTCACCACCCCCGAGATCAAGGGTCACCTGCTCTTCTGACTGAGCCAGCCGGGCACCCCTGCAATTCCACTTCTAGATTCTATTACTGGAATCTCTAGTAATGTTCCACATACACATTCAGCATAAATCATGGTATATTCCTATAACATGTTAGAGAACAGTGAATGAATGAACATAAGCTGTATGTGTCAACCTATACCTCAAAAGCTGTAATAGTGAATAAAAGGAGCTGGAGAATCCATGTTAATATGTACCTTAAGCAAATAAAATCACTTTATAGACTTAGACTATAAATGTATGTTTCAGGATACATATGGCATATATTAAAATATAAAAAGACAAAATAGAAGGATACATACAGAATTTATCACATTAGTTATCTCTTAAAATAGAGGGAAGGGGACCAGGGCTGGGTGACACAGAGGATCTTCAGTTATATCTGTAGCATTTTTTTAAGTTTAAAAAAAAATAAAAGTTAATTCTCTTTTTTTTAAGATTTATTTATTTATTTGAGAAAGAGGGAGAGAGCGCACCAGAGTGGGGTGAGGGGGACAAGGAGAGAGAATCTCAAGCAGACCCCCTGCTGAGCGTGGAGCCTGATGTGGGGCTCCATCTCAGGACCCTGAGATCATGACCTGAGCCAAAACCAAGACTCAGACGCTTAACTGACTGAGCCACCCAGCCACCCCAAAATAACAGTTAATTCCGTGGGTTACATATTTGTTGTTATTCTCTGCCCTTCTCTGTGCTTTAAAATATTTTTTTTAATTTAAAAAAATTAAGTCAACAGTTCGGTCTTCCCCTTTAATGTCTCAAGAACTGAAACCTGAAAAGTCTGTATCTTCATTTATATGGGTAAATCCATTCTGGCAAGAGTACACGAAACAAGTCCTAATGCTAAATTAGCAAGGCTGTTTACCAAACCCTGACTTAGGAGGGGTCAGGCTGGGCCATTTCCTTAAGGAGGATGCATATTCTTTCATTAAGGTTTTATTGAGGAATCTCTCCTCTGTAAAAAAAAAAAAAAGTAATGCTGTCTAATATAGTTTCTACTTCCAACTTAACAAATAAACTGCCTTTATTAATTTTTGGTGTTTAAAATTCTAAACACTAGGGCGCCTGGGTGGCTCAGTTGGTTAAGCGACTGCCTTCGGCTCAGGTCATGATCCTGGAGTCCCGGGATCGAGTCCCACATGGGGCTTCCTGCTCAGCAGGAAATCTGCTTCTCCCTCTGACCCTCTTCCCTCCCGTGCTTTCTATCTCTCATTCTCTCTCTCTCTAATAAAAAAAAAAAAAAAATCTTTAAAAAAATAAAATAAAATAAAATTCTAAACACTAGAGCTCTGGATTCTCAAACAAGCTTTCTGAGATCCTTCCCCCACCAGACAGAGACTGCTGGCCTGCTGTTTCAGGAATGTTCTTGTTTTCTAGAAAGCAGCTTGTCTATGCGGTGCTTCCCCACCCCCTTGCCAGTCTGCACACTCACCTCCAACAATGCACAGTTTAGTCTAAAGCACAAAAGAAACAATTTCTGACTAGACTCACTCTCCTGAGTTATGATTGCCAAATCAAATAAATCTGTTTTACTTTTTTTTTTTTTTTAAGATTTTTATTATTTGTCAGAGAGAGAGAGCACAAGCAGGGGGAGCAGCAGAGGGAGAGGGAGAAGCAGGCTCCTCGCTGAGCAAGGAGCCCGATGTGGGACTTGATCCCAGGACCCTGGGATCATGACCTGAGCCGAAGGCAGACGCTTAATGACTGAGCCACCCAGGCGTCCCTCTGCTGTTTTACTTTCAAATTAACTTCATGTTTCTTCATCTGGCATTTCTGAAGGTGTAAGACGCCCTGTGAAGAACTGTCTTTACCTAAGATTTGGTGCTTGGGAGCGCTGCCCCTGACTTAATACCACTTGGATTCTTCTATATACCTCTCAAAGCTCCACCTGAATTGTTACTTAAATCAAAAGTCAGAGTTTTCACTGATACTTTGCATGACAAGAGCATTAAACTGGATGGCACTCTACCTACTCAGATCTGAAAAAGCCCGCCGACTGACATCACACAAGATCCACCATGCAGTTCCCGAGTACTGGTCATGAACAACACATGGCAATTTTACGGAGGCTTACACCAGCTTCCGAGAAGGAAAGCGTTATGCCCCTGCTCTCAGCTCCTAAGGCCCAGGTAGACGGGCTCTCGTTAATAACAGGTCTCAACATCACGGTCCTATTCCATCATGCCAGTAGCCAGTTTCCAGCATCCAGCCGTATGTTTTTACAGGAACCCTACAGACATCACCAGAGAATTCAGACGCTGTCACCCAACCCCAGCTGTACTCTATCAGGGGTCTTCATTTTGCTTTGCTTTCTATTTTCTGCAACCACATTATGATAAAACTGGCAGCCACAGAATTTACCATCTGCTACGGATACTGAAAGGGGTGTGTGCTGGGGGGAGGGGGGACCTACATGTACGGCAAGTGCAGCTGACTTATCCCCAAACCAGAGCTGAACAAAATATGAAGGATGCACCCGTTTACTAAGCAGAAATCCAGGCATCCGCTTATTTCATCATTTTAGGTGAACCCAGCAAAATAGCTCGCAACCTTTCTCTCCTTCTACCAACAGGGAAGTCAGCAAGGATTCTGGGCCTCTACGGGAGAGGGTTATGTCTCTGTGTCCTGCAGAAGCCCCTCACCCATCCTGCCCCTTCCTCTACCCTGCCCAGGCAGCTGCAGCATTTGTAGAAACGGCCTCTTTTTGTGTGAGAATTGCTCATGAAGACTTTGCAATAGCAACAGATGTGAGGGCCCACATCACTGAATTAGGATGCCCAGCGACTCTCTGGAGAGCTTGTGGCCGGGTCAGAACCCGGCAGCTTGAGCATGGCTACTTTCCACAAGCTGGATAACATGAGGTCTCTTCTAGAGTCGAGGGTGGCTCATTATGAAGTGGTGCACTGACCAGAGGTTGGCCTTGCCGGTTTCGAATAGGAGAGGCCCTAGTCTCAATATGAAAAGCCCTGGCCATGTTCCGTATCTTCTCTGTGAGCCTCATCCAGGCAGATACCTGGCTTCCGAGACTCAACTGACATTTCAAAGCACTGGCAGAATGATTGGCAGAGGTGAGTGTCTCCAGTGGGAACTGGCAGCATTGAACCTCCCCCACCGAAATGGGCAGCTCCCTTCCTTCTCCCCCACACATCAACTACCATTTAGACCAAAGTGTCTGCCTCACAGGTTCAGCAGAGAGCCAGAGAAGTTGTAGATACTAAGACGTCTTTATATGCTGCCGGGCGTATAGTTAATGCAATGAAAACCCCAATATTCTGAACTGTGTCTAGCCTCCACTAATATAAACATTCATTTTGATCTCTAAGGTGCACGAATGCAGTGGAGGGCTGCCAACCTATAAAAAGGCCTGTTTGGGGCCCAAGAAGTGCACAGATGGCTGCACACACACATCATCGA